AAAAAAATCATACGGTTTGTTTTTCACATTAATAGCATTAACGTAAAGAATGTTTTATATCACACTCTTGCAATATGCTTAGAAAGGGGTATAAAATTTTTAAGCCACATATAAAGATTTTAAAGTAAATAACTGCAGCATCTCATAGAAACATTTATTAAACAATATATGCATAAAATTATATTTTCTTGATTACAAATAATGCTTGATGCGTTATTTGGCAAGATTAAACAACATTTCCCTACTAACCAATATATTATAATCTTAAAATAAAACTTGAAATAAAACCTTTTCATTTATCTTATAAAAATATCTACTTTGTCCATTAAAAATAATAGTATATATAGGACAAAGGAAATGTTATAAACATGTCTTAAATTATTTTATAACACACAATTAAATCCTTCAACAAATTTGAGATATTTCTCATGACGATCTGCATAATTGTCAGAAACTGTTCTCATTTCATTAATGAACTTCACCTCGTGGGATAGTAAAACATTGAACAACACACTTGAATATATGAAATTGCTTTCATACCTTACTGTTTTTGCCTGTTTTTGCCTTCCTTCATCATAGGTGCATTTTTTACATATATTTCTAATTAAAACTCCATCATTCTTTGTTAAACAAAAATATTCATATATCAATCCCATAATTTCATGTACGATAAAACGCCTGTGATACCAAAGAGTCTCATGATGTTTATAAAACCGAATTAATTCATTGTTTACTGACAATTCATAAAATATTATTTCTAACTTTCGACAGATGGATACATTATTCAATGTACAATGACAACTCTTTACAGTATGAAACAATAGTAAATTAATTAGGCTGTTGTCTGAATATGACAACAAATTGTCTTCAGAAACCTTTAATGTTGAATCTTTCGGGAAGTTACATGCTAGGAATCTTACAAAAATTTTCCTTAAGTTAAGATTGAGAGAAGTAGTAAATATGTTCCACAATTTCTCATTGAGATCATAAATATTTTTTACACATAATTGGCGGTAGTGAAAGCAGCTATGATCTGAAATATTTTTGGCAGTCCATTGTTTAGAAAAATTATATTCTTTAATATACTGACTGAAAACATCAAATTCCTTCTCAAGAGTCTTCAATTTATTCATGAACCAAATACGATGATTCCAACTGTGATAATTATTTGGACTTTTATCTGAAGCTTGAGTACATACATTAAATTCTTCATTAATAAGTTCTTGAATGTTGTTACTTTGCAAAGTCTCATCTAAGGAAGAAATAAAATAGAACATTAGTTTAGGAGTTGATCCATAACACAGTTAAGATGTGACAGTACAATTGTTTATCTTTAACAACTTAGAAACAATTCGCAAAACATAATATATACAACAGAACTGATGATTGAAATTAATATTAGTCCCACACACAAACATCAATTAACATGAGCACAATAAGTTGATTGTAGTTAGTTGTTGTATTTAACCATAAAAACTAAGCAATGTAACTCTAACTTAATAGAGAGATTAATATAATGGTAGTTACTAGCTAGCTAATTTGTCTATTTCTATGATCCACAAAAAAGTCATAAAAAATTTTTATACCTCTTAATATAATATCTAAAAGCCATCTTCTGTATGCAAAAGCATCATTGCATTTTGGTTTCCTGGATAGTATGAGTCTTGAAAATTGAAGTTCAGATGCTTTATCCAATAAAGATTTCAGTAACAGTGTACGCCTTTTATTCCAAAGAAAACTTAATTCAGGATTAAGCAAAAGTGTGACATTTAGTAATTTTATCATCCGCTCATAATTGAATGACGACACTTTTGATGTTTTGCGTCTTCCCTTTGTGCAGTATCTATCCATTATTTCAGAATAACAATACATGTACACATGTTTGATACACCAAGACTCTAGACCAAGACAGTTTTCTAAATGTAAAACAGGTGATTTGTTTCGAAAGTTTGTGTCCACGGGTACAAAATCAAATGATCGTCTAAAAACATAAAAAAATATTAGAATAGCAATGTTACGAGTACTTATCCCGTGAGATGTTTGATTAAAATTTTGTAAAACGTTAATCAAATATCTGGAAAGAAATCTTAGCGTTCTAGGATAAATACTTACAATTCAGCGATTTTAGATAAAACAACATGAATATCTTTAATAATTCTCTCAACTAAAGCAAATTTATCTTGATCCATTACGAAAAATGCCTTGTTTAATGGTTTGTTGCATAGAATAGTAAAACTAATTATTTTTAAACATTCCTAACCCATTTTAATGTTTATGTACGTAAAAAAAATACAATGCAAAGAGTACTTTTGTATATCTGATACAATCATAACAGATAATATTAAAATTCCTTGCTGTGCTGTGAACGAATTGTTAAATACAGATTCCGAATAATAACGTTGAATTGTTTGTGCCGTAAATTACGCTGTCACTGTCAGTACGATACGAGTGTACTGGGTAACTGTTGTATATAGCTCAACGGCTATATATAGAACACAAATTATGATAAGCTCCTTTTAAAATGCCTATTAGGTTTACACTTTATTATATTCGTGTTCGTTCTACGGCCATGTTTTTAAATCGCCAAAATCCACAGCTATTATAAAGGTTTTCCCTATTTATGACTGTGGACTTAACAATAACAATACATTTCTATTTACCTAAATAAAGTATCTACAGAAATTACATAACTTAAGTTCATTTAAACAAAACTAACGGTGCTGCAGTGGTCATATTGCGTTGCGGTTTGACTTAGAAAAAGCAATTGCAATAGTTACCAGTGTATCAGCCTGCCTTGCCAACTTAAGGCTTTTAGCCCGAAATTTAGGGCGCAAATATATTGCGATTTTTTTAGGGTCCAAAAAAGGTTATTTTTAGGGCCATGAAAAATATTTCATACATCACTATTTTGAGTAACTAAAATGAAAAAAGAAAAAAATAGCGTAGCGCCGGCTAACTCGATTGGGTTCTATCTGCACTAGGCTATGTGAAGTGAAATACCACTGGTTATAGTAATAATAGTTTATTCTCGTAAGTAGTTGCACAATTAGAGTACACTTGAGAAACTTATAAGAATATAAACTAATTCTATGTTAGGTACATAATTACAGTCTATTAGCACACTAACTATAACGCGTCGGTTGTCGAACTGCGCGGGAGCGGCGGGAACGTATTTCAAATCGGTCGCTCCCGCTCTGAGCCGTGATTGGCTCTTGCGTTGCCGCCCTGGATTCGTCCAATCCACGACTATTACTAAGCCCGAGCGACTTTTGAACAGGGCGCGTTACAATAGCTATTAATAAAAACTTATGCACACTCAAAGTGCCAGATAGGCTTGTACACACCATCCGGGCCTTCCTGTCGAACCGCTCTTTTCGATATCGATCGAATCGGTTGAGGGCACCCTCTCCACAAGCCGCCGCCTCACGGCCGGCGTACCACAAGGCTCCTGCCTCTCACCTTTGCTCTTTACGCTCTACACGAGCGATATACCTACAGACCCCCACGTCAATCTCGCGCTTTTCGCGGATGACACGGCGCTCTTTTATTCAGACCGCAACCTTAGACAACTAACCACTCGACTCCAAAGCGCTGCCGACCGCCTCGGCGATTGGTTTCGCAAATGGGGAATAGAAATAAATCCCGAAAAGAGTGTGGCGATTCACTTCACACGAAGTACTTACCCGTCACATCTTTATAATGGCCCTCGTCAATGCAGAAAGTTGGGGCAAATATCCCTTTATGGCCAACAGCTCCCCTGGGAGAAAAAGGTCAAATACTTAGGAGTCACTTTCGACACGCGTATGTCATTTAATACGCACATTAATAACGTTCGCAATAGAGCCGCATTCGTCTCCGGCCGACTACACAATTTAACTAACGCTAATAGTAAAATGCCCTTAAGGCACAAATTATTATTATATAAGACCTGCGTACGACCTATTATGTCTTACGCATGCATGATCTTCGCCAACACGCACCCTACTCGCTTGTACAAGTTGCAAATAGTACAAAATAAGTTCATCCGCCGCGCATCCGGTGCGCAGTGGTATCAACGCAACGTCGACCTGCACAGCGATTGCAGACTCCCGACGATTCGCGAATATTTTAAAGACCTGACCAAACGGTTCTTCGATAGAGCCGATCATCATCCCAACCCTCTGGTGGTAAGCGCAGCAAATTACCAACCCGACACAAACGCGAACGTCAACAAGCGTCGCCCGCGAAACGTCCTAATCGACCCGGTCGAGGAAGGGGACTTAGACACGCCGGACCCACCACCGGGGGTCCCGCCGGACAACACTACACCCACAGTTACAACAAACACACAACAACAAACACACTAGTTCGCCCTCGCCTCCGAGCACGGCGAGACCAACACAACGCGTACACAAGGTACACCCGCGTTCCGGGGCGGTTCTCACCGCCCCCAGCCACCGATTAGCTAATTGCACAGTCGACGGCCATCGGGGTTTCGGTCCGAACCAAGACCTCTATGGCCCTTAGATGACACACCATAGTTAAACGCACGCATGAGCACATGCGTGGCCCTACCCACAGCGGAGGGCCCAAACCCGTGGGTTCTGGCTAGCCCACCAGTTCTGCGTCAGATGAAGCTTTAATAGTCTTGAGACTGAAAGCAAAAACATCAGTTAATACAAGAATACAAGAAAAAACTTATGAAATCTTTATTAATACTTATTATGAAAAATAATTATAAGTAAGTTATGTTTATTTACCTTAACATAATTTGAAAATCATTTAAATATTATCTTTGATTACAATACAGAGATTTTTGGGACTTTTTAATATTCTATATTTAGGGCTATTTCATCAGGGTTTTAGGGTCATTTTTTAACTTAGTTGGCAACATTGCTATCAGCAGAGTCAGCACCAGCAGCAGATGTCAGATTGTCAAAATTGCTGAATGTTGTTTGTTTTCTTTTTACTATCATTTTAATGTAAATACGATAATATAAATCTAATATAGATTTTTTAATATGGTATACTTTTGAACTTTTCACCTATACTATCGTATTTATTAATATTTAAATTTATAAAGGTTGCTATTATCGTGTCATTTTGTTTCAGAGCGCTATATTCAACTTTCAAAGCTTATTATCCGTAATTTTACTCTTAATATGTACTTGTGCTTATCTACGATCCTTTTTTCCAAGTATAATGGATCGAAACAAAACTGGGTAAGTAGGTAACTAATTATCAGTTTTTAACGATAGGTCTTATTTTACTACACGGCTCTTTTCACTATAGTTATAATTATCTGTCAACATGTTATAAAGTTAGTAAAGAAAAAAACATAATAAAGCAAGCAACACAAGCAAAACTTGCTGACCCGGCAAACATTGTTTTGCCATCTTCATTATTTCTTAGGTATTTGTGAATCTGCCAAAGACACAGAATTTTCGAAACACATGCATAAAATGGCAAACAGGCAAGAACAGTTTGTATGGGAAAAAAAATTGTTGCTATTTCGATTTTCCATGAAATTTTTCAATAATTTCTCACAGTTTAAAACTTTCCTGAACTGCCATAAATATTTCAAAACCAAAATTAGCCAAATCAGTCCAGCCGTTCTCGAGTTTAAACGAGACTAACGAGAAAAGATAAAAACACTTGGTTACTTAAAACACAATTTTCATGAATAATATTTTTCTAGTAGTGGTGATCAAACCCACACTCTCCAGAGAGTAGAGTCCAGTTAACTTCCCAGTATGCCAAATCGGGAGGTCAAATGAAATATTTGATAAATACTTTTTGTACCTTTAAATAATTTATAAAACTTTTTTTCAGGCTCCTAGGAACGTTTTGGAAGTGTGCTAGAATTGGTGAAAGGAAATCACCATATGTTGCAGCTTGTTGTGTTTTAATGGCATTTTCTATATTATTTCTAACTTAAATATTATCCTAGATATATGCCCAAGTAATTATATAATAAATTTATACCTTTTTAATGTGTATTCCATCTTAGATAGATTTATACAAATCTAGACTATTCTTAACTAATGTGTTTATGAAACAATAACTTATTTATGAACTATACAGGAAGGCTTTTCTAAGTGTATCCATTTTTTTTTATTAAATTCTAGATAAATAATGTTATATAAAAATGATAAATATTTAAAATCACTCTTAATTAATTAATTACATTAATTTGAACTTATCTCAACAACTGGGTGATTTATAGGCAACTCATTTATTTTACGCGCGATCATTCATAACTAACACGCCCATAAGTTCGTTTCAAAAGTATACAACACATTTATGAAAAACTACCGCATAGTCAACAAGTTCTGTTTTTAGGGAATAGAATGGCAATTTTTTTGAAAAAAATACTTGGTTTTTATTGCAATAAACAATTGTACTACTGAGTCTAAACCTCCTGTGTGCATTTGGACACCTTTAAAAAAGCCACCCTGCATGTTTCGGACAACGGACTCAAATTGCATAAAAAAACCGCGCTCGAGAATATCTCCTGTGTATATTAGTTACAATATTGCATGAAGATTGCACTATGTTTTTTTTTTTTTTTTTTTTTTTAAACATTGCCCTTACTTTTGAATAACATTATCCTGTGTGATAAGGACGTTTTACAAACATAAATTTAAATCGGACAAAAACCCAGACGCGGAACAACTGTGAGCCATTCAAACAGTTGTCCCATGTGGGAATCAAACCCACAGCCCCCAACTCCGAAGACTTGGCAACTGCGCTATGGAGTCATCCATTGTGTACTTTATTTTAATATGTTTCAATAGAATAACTAAAAGCAATCACTTAAGTAAATTATCAAATCGGGGCTTTCGATAAATTATTTCCAGCTGTTGATAAGAGACATAGATTTGAATTAGCCAATTTTAATAGACATAATTATCATTAGCGCACATACTCTTGTAAAAAACCAAAAGTAATCGTTTCCATTTAGTCTCAGTTGAGTTACTTCATAAATTATAGTAACTCGATATTCTTGAAAACAAATAACTATTGGTTCTGACTTAAGTTTGAAAGCCTAAAATATAAATATAAATTTTCCTAAAGATTATTAATGATAAATTTATGCGATAATTAACCTTCAAATAGCACTGGTTTAAACATTAAAAAACACTTTCGACATTTTACATACAGACGTCTTTAGGCGCTTCGGGACTGTTTTATAACACGAAGTGATACCAGGTTATTAGAGAATTAATAACATGACTAACATTTCTAAAAAACAACACGTCAGACACTATACGAGCTAGAAGGCTTTTTTTCAAATTTCGGTCATCTTTCCGCCTTTTTTTAACCGTAGCCAAAACTGTGTTCAGTAATTAAAAATTTCAATGTTCGTAAGAAAGCTGCAGAAGGAAGGAAAAAAGAAAACAACATTTTGAGTTAACCTTTATTTTAAACGTTTCATAAATAAAACAAAATAAGCAGTAAATATGAATGTTATTCACTATTCAATAAATGTTGCAGTTTGCTTGTTTTATATTTTAAACTGTCGTAAAATTATTGTTTTTGAAACTTTTACTGATCTGGCTAAGGTAAATTAGTTACTTTGAGTAACAATATCTAAACAAAAAAAAACTCATTTAAAATTAACAAAGTTTTTGTAACTTTCTTTATATTTAAAAAATAAATTATTTATTCAAAAAAGTATGTTTTACAGTGAATATCGTTTAACAGCTATTATTTTATTAAAATGTCTGGGACATAGATTATGCCCGCCGGCCTAGTTTAAACGTTTATTGTGCATGTGTTTAACAATGATCACTTGGACATTGTGATGTTAAAACAATTTAAATTTGACACTGTATATAGTGATTTTGCAAATAATAAAGTCAAAATAATTCTATTTGTAATATTAACAGGGTATTTATTGTTTTTTATTTATTTAAACAAACTGCAAACTATAAGAACAGTGATTTTATTTCCAATAATACAATCATAAATTATTGCAATTGCCTTTTGCTTCATTTTTTTTTTCAAAAACGTTATAATTTGATAATTGTGCGAATCATCAACCGACATAGGACCTAAAAATTTGGTAACTCATTTTGAAGGGAATTTTACACTGTACATAGTGTACATAAACTTTGGTGGATAAATAATATTAACCTAAAATTATTAGAAATAATTAACCAAATAAAAACAATGAAACATTCGACGTAAATGTCTTTTAACAGCATTTAGGACTGGATGGTGTGGATATATTGCCACCCTTACAATATTTGCAATACTACTAGAATAAATATCTGCGAGTTTGATCGATACTGAATATCAAGAATACAGGAGGAAACAAAAATGTAAGTAAAAGATGCGGACTAAGATTACAAGTATTGTTATGATTACTTAAGTTAATAAAAGCTTGTAAGTTTTGCAGTTAAATTTGTCGTTATGTGTATAGAAATAAATATGCAAAACCATATAAGTAAATATAATTTCGTTATTTTACTGGAATAAAGTGCCGAAACGGCGTTTGTAGTCATTTATTTACGCATACAAGCACACATTCAGACGAAGAAATAAAGAGATTTCCATTGTAACAAATAAAAAAAATATATTTCCTCTCAGCCTCCAATCGATACGCGATAATACTGTTCATATAGTACAGTACACATTCATTATTTGCAAATTTTATTATTTCGATAATAATAAATTTTTAAATGGAAAATATTGCTTTCATAACAGGAATTGAAACGACTAATTTCGAATACATTAACACCACACATATAATAGGAGAAACTTACTTCTATTAGAAAATGGGGTGTGCCATATATTAAAGTAACATATAGAATAAGAATGACGACGCGACGAAATGTTAGTAATTAATGTTAGACCACAACGATAGAATATTTATTAAAGAGTACTTTTAAAACGTTACACGTAAGCCACGATAGTTATATAGGTAATATTTAAATTTGAAATTTATATAAATTATTTATTATGCGTCAACAAGTATTTATATGCACTCATGTAACAAGCTTAATATATCATTGGCTAATATATTATAGTGACGGGACCAACCGAGTCTTATAATACATATAAGGCCTTTCAAAATTGTTAGTGATGGGCAGCATTCGATGTGTCGATAGACCCGACTTAATTTTGTTATCATTCAATAACGATATGGCTTCGGACTCATTACCTAAATACACATACGGAAAGGCTCTGACAGCGTTGACCGTCCGATTCATAAGTTAGCGAGACTTTTATTGCACTTCAAATACGCTGCAACGGTCGTTTTCAACGCGCGAACATCACTTAGGCCATCAAACTCCGCGGGACAATAGACTAACGGCGAATAAATAAATTTCGTATATATATTTCTCATCTAGGACACGTTAAGATAAAAAATAGCGATCATTTCGTACTAGATACAACTAAAGATCCTTATACATTTCAAACACACTAAAGGCAACATCGCCTACTCAGTGACTAGTCTGACGGCGTTTAATCATACTTGTAACATATCAATAGCAACAACGAAGGAATCACAAGGGGACGTCAGGGGGGTTCCACTGTCAATTCCAATACCTTCAGATACTGATGACACCAACGTCTGTGAATCGAGAACGGAATATTAAAAAAACACTATATATAAAATGCGCCTCTCCATAATAAAACACATAAACATTTTGTTACTCAGCAGAGCACTGTACGATTATACTCTCAGAAACATTTAAAACATAATTAAAAATATTTTATAAAAATTCAGTTTCAGGTAGAATAATAAATATGTTCTGTAATATATTATATCATAACTCTTTATATTCTATGGTCAATTAATAAAGTGATGTCGAAATTGATATTTTTAAAAATATCAATATATCTTAACTTTCGACATACGAAATTTAGAAAGAGCTTGGAGAGAGACAACTACTGACTGTCATAATATTATGTATTAGCATGTTGAGGGTGGATGGCAAAAGAATTAATAAAACAGTCTGAATGCAGCGCTCGTCTTTGACTCACGTTCCCTGTGCCCCTACAACATACGTTCGGCTTCCTACAGCGTTGTCTCTATCGCACAAAGCACTAAGGAGTCCGGTAGATAGTGTGCGACAGAGACAACGCACTAAATAACCGAAATTAGCCTATTGTCTCATCCCAAAGCATGAGCAATATATATCGCAGAATACTGTACACTTTTCGCACTAAAAAATAGCGCTCAACCACCATCATTCACGGCACGTGGTGATTATTCTGTGGTAGGGCCACGCAACAGTGTTCGCTGTTGCACGAATGGGCAGGTCCGTCCGGGTAAGCACCAGGACCTCACAGAAGGCCGGGGCGTCAAGTGGAAGTGTTATACTTCTGCATTTCAGCTGGTGTGATATATATTTTTTTATTTTATGTGAGGAAGTGGCAAACGAGCTACAGGTTCACTTGATGTTAGCGCCGGTCTTCTGTAAGGTCGCGGTACTAACCCGGACGGACCTGCCCATTCGTGCAACAGCGAACACTGTTGCGTGGCCCTACCACAGAATAATGTTGCCGTGAATGCCGAAAAGTGTACAGTATTCTGCGATACCAATATACCCACCAATACACCGCTGTGATAACAGAGGCCAACTTTATTGAAAGGTGGCAACGCAACTACAACCGTACGGGTGTTGCAACTGTCCACGTGTGCCGGTTACCACTTAACACGTGCACCGCTAGTTCGCTTGCCGCTTAAAAAGGCATCAGATGGTGTTATCTTTGTATCTCTTATGGTCTAAGAAATAACGTCACCTGCTCTCAATACTGCGGGTGGTGTAACGGCGGCGCGTCGCGTTCAGGCAACTTCCGCACCTTCATAGTACCGTCAGCGCCGCAAGAGAACAGCCTACCGGCGTTGTCTGTTAAAAACGAAAGCTAGTAAAGTATCAGCTTACAAAAAAAGTAAAAGCCTATAACACGTGTTGTACTACTGGATAAGTCTCATCTGTATAGCTGGTATTAGAACATAGTCCACCCACCACGCGACGCCATTGCGGATTGGCGGACTTCGCACATCTTCCAAATATTATATTATGTTATTATTTGAAAAAGATGCAGGTTTCCTCACGACCTTTTCCCTCACCACTAAGCACGTGATAACTTAGCAGTTAAAACTGAAATTAACAGTTTCATTTTAAATTCCATCAAATTTTTGTTATTTGATAGAATTTAAATAAATATACGTCGAATATAAATAAATATACGTTTTCGGGCAAAGGTTTCATCTGTATTGATTCTCTTAGGGTATAGCTTGGCTCTATTGTGGATTCGCACTACATGTTTTTATTACTTTTTATAATATCAGTTTCTATAAGGCCATATTACTGGTACAGAGCAGCGGTTAAAAATTAACAATTTACTGACTGACATTCCAAGTTTGTAAAGTCCCTTGCTGTACGATACGGATAGATGGCGCTTAAGCAAACGCTTTAATCCGACATAATTCTTTGGACTCGTGGGTCGTAAATCGAATTTACGACCCACGTTACTCCTGTGACGATGGTCATAAGTTCCTGTCTGCCACGCCAACCGTTTTCGACGTCGCATCTTACCAATGTGTATTTGCGTAACGCCTTGGCCGATATGCTTGAAGAAAGAGCTCCTAGCATGCTCGCCGGCGAAGGTGTGCAGCAGCTGATGGGTGGTCAGGGAGAACACCTGGTTACGAGGAGTCATATTAATCGCTGGGTTCCTCAATTCTAAGTATATTAACGTAAGGCTCATTCGAGAAACGAAGATGTGGCGTCTTTGACCGATGGAAGGAAACTATCTCTCGTACACGGTAAGTAAAATTGCACACGTCAAACAGTTAATTAAATTTTAACGTGACAACAAGAAATTGTTAATTTGACAACAAGAAACAATGAAAGACAACATCAGTCGATAGTCACTTCATTTTCATCAAATGACGTTATTAGGTTATATAATGCAATGCAAAAAAATTTGAAATCAAAATTCAAAATAAAAAATTACCGCGTTCTGTGTTCTGTCGATGAAGGGATTAAATCATTTGTTTGTTTACAAAATATACTACGTGGACTCAATATCTTTACTGACAAAACTTCGAGGAAACGGAAACAACAATGTATAAAATCCATCAATTAATCAGGGGTACAAGTGACTTTAACGGTCGATAAAAGCACGCGTTCAATAAAGGACCCTAATGCTAAGGGCATTAAGGTCGTCACTCCCCAATAGGGCGTGCGCACATCATATTCACATCATATATTTCAATAAAGGACCCTATTGCTAAGCGCTTAGGGCTGTCATTCGGCGAGCGAGCGCGCGCACCTTTATGTCGCCGTCCGCCGCGCCGATGGCGTAGTAGTCCTCGCGCGGCGACAGCGACACGCACTTGATGGGCGCGTGGTGGGCGTGCAGCTTGTGGCGGGGCGCGCGCGCACGCAAGTCCCACACGAGCACGTCGCCCCTCCGGCCGCACGACACGAGCGCACCGGCGCCCCCCGCCCACGCCACGCACGCGGCGCCCCCCTCGTGGCACGTCCACGCTGACACGCGCAAAGTAAAGCAACGGCCTATGCATGTCCCACGGCTGGGCAACGGCCTCCTCCGCGTGGAGGGTGTCAGGGCATAGCCCACCACGTGACCCCACTGCGGATTGGCGGACTTCTCTAAGGAAGGCGGTGTTAGGGCACAGACCGCACGACCGCACGACGTCACTGCGGATCGGGGCACTTCGCGTATCTTCGATTTTTTTTGTTGTTGTTATTTTGAAAGTATGCAGGTCACATCGCGCAGTTCTACTTAGCCGCTGACCAGGTATAAGTCAGCTAGTGAAATTGACAATTTTATCGGTGCCGGCATCGAGGATTGAACTCGGGTTGCTCGTGTAATGCCCGGTTCCTATTTTCATCGTACGGCCGTTAGTTACATAGCTTCGTAACTTTCATAACGACTTGTAATTTAAAGGAACGCTAGTAGGTCACTTTCTGTAGATAATACAACGGCTCGTAAGGAAAACGCCTCTTTTTAAACGGTTTTATTTAGCTCGACCCGTACGGAATTTATTTGTTTATTTATTTGGGTCAAAATTAGAAATTGAAATTTAAGCACCTTCCCGTTGTCAGATTGATCTGAAATTTGGTACACACATTTAATTTTGATGACAATACAATATTGTAGTTTTCAGTGCACAACCGTTTAACTTAAAAGTTTTTAAACGGTTTTATTGTTAATATAGGAACTGGGCGTACACGCCTTTTATCTACAAGACGTTATGAGAGTTACGAAGCTATGTAAGTAACGGCCGTTCGTTGAATATAGGAACCGGGCGTACATAGAGTATCACGTATAAAAGCTACACAGCGCCGACACATGTAAACGCATAATCTTAACTGTGGTAGAGGCACACAACTTCTTGGCCGTTGCAAAGTCATATCATTATCACTTAACATCAGGTGAACCACCAGGTGGCCACACCCGAATAAAACTGGCCTCGTCCACCACCTAACTAATGATAAGCATTCGAATACTTGATGCACTACATACCGTACTTACGCTGTCACATAGTGCCGAATTTATGTTCAGTTTCTATCTCACTCTATCAGTTTAACGTCGAAATTTCACATAGTTAAATAAATATGATTGCTTTCACATTTGTAAAACGTAAAGAAAAAAATATGATAATAATAGGCTTTTACGGAGCTAACGTCTGTCTTACTAGTAAACCACCTTCTTCAGTGATTAGAATTTGTCTGTCTTTACCGCATGATAAAACTTTTTAGATATTGGTAAACCATTTCGTCGGTGTAGTAATCAGCCGTTTAGCTCAGTGGCTAGAGCGTCAGGCCGCGAATACCGAAGACGTGGGTTCGATTCCCACAGCGGCAACAATCTTTTCGCACTTTTTCTACATATTTTAATGTTCAATCTTAAGTGCAAAGATTAGCACTATAAACAATTTAAATTTCTAAAAAAGCAATGGCGACATCTCACGTTCGAATTATCGTTGTAAAACGATATTCGAAATTGTTTGTATGCTGGAAAGGATATAACAATAGATGGCGCCAAGCATTGCTTCAAATGCTAGAAAACAATGTGGCTGAATGCGTTAAGATTTTCGTCGGTGTGGTAATCAGCCGTTTAGCTCAGTGGCTAGAGCGTCAGGCCGCGAATGCCGAAGACGTGGGTTCGATTCCCACAGCGGCGACAATCTTTTCGCACTTTTTCTACATATTTTAATGTTCAATCTTAAGTGCAAAGATTAGCACTATAAACAATTTAAATTTTTAAAACAACTTATCACAAAACTTATGTTTGTGATAAATTCTATAACATGTACTTTATTCTTTACCTTTAAATTCAATGTAAATCTTCAGACTATTTTTTTTTTAATGAACACTACTAAGTTAAAAAAAATAACTTACAAACAACAAGCGCCTTTTTGATCGGCATTAAAGTATCCCATATGGCAACGTTTTTGCTTTCTGAACTGTGTCCAGCTGAAAATAGAAAATTATAACAATTATATTATAAGTGAATACATTATTACTCTCATTATATACTCATAGTAAGTGAGATAAAAATTACCAGTGGCAACTAAGCTGCAGGAACCGAGGAAAACGAAGTCGCTAATTCCTTTACTATGACACTGATGAGTCTAAACAAAATACAATAACCCATTAATACAAAACAATAGTTCCATTTAATGTGTAATATTCACGGGCATAGCTTGATTTTGATATCGGAAAGTTCAAGGAAATAAAACAACAAACGTGTACCGTACAAAGGAATAAGAATAAGTAACTGTAATAAGTAAATGTTTTTTAAATAATCCGTTCACGTTTCTGAGAAATTGACAATCTAATTTTAAAAAATCCATATTGTTCTAAACATTTACAGGGTCAAACCCTGGCTACGCCCATGATTACACCTGTAACAGAATTAAAAATAATATTTTGTGTTATCGGATTGCTGGTTTTTAATCCTCCATAGTTATTACATAGAAAAATTACAAGCTAAGCATTACCTTAAACAACTGAACCTTTCATATTTGTTTGTTTTAAAATTTCTCTCAATAATATTTTAACTCAATTATATTTAAAGATTTATAAACATTAGTTAGAAAACAATTAAAATTTCATTGATTTGGGAAAAATGTTAGGAAATTTCCACTATGATTTCTTATTTAACATACTTTTTCATATTACATTACATACATAGTAAAACTAATTCTTAATTTGACTTGAAACAATCAAAGGAGCGGCGCGGGAAAGTTAGAGAGAGTCACCACGAGCGTGAGCAGGACAGAAACTGACGAAGTATGGGCGGGGCAAGTTAGAGGGAGTCGACACATCGCCCGCAGCGCGCGCGAGCGTGACGGAAAAACTCACGAAGAAGGGGCGGGGCGAGGCGTGCGCGGTGGGCGGCGCGTGCGCGTTGTACTGCGGCGCGGGCGGGTGCAGCTGCCACATTGCGAGGTTGCCGTCCGCGTCCGCCGCCGCGAACTTGTTCCCGTAGTCGGAGAAGCGCACGCGGGTGACCTTCGCGAAGGCGCCGGGCGCCCGCGGCGACCACACGCACGACGGGTGGCCCCACTCCCACAGCTGCACCGAGCCGTCCGCGCCGCCCGTCAGGTCTGTCACGCGCACAACGTCAAGCACGCACACACACGACGCGATCAAAGTTCGCGGACAAAATATTTTGAACTAATTCCCTTCCAAATTAGATTCACATTGAAACCGGAGCTATCTCATAATTTTATCCTCATCGACCGTCAACTGCGTTAGGATTGATTTGGAGGAAGTTATCTAGCTCGAAGGTAAGACTACGATAGATCTCAGTCGTCGTTGGTATTAACTACCCAACCCTTTCCGTACAAATCATAATCTCAATCCCCAATTCAAGGCCTCAATTGGTGAGAGGGAAAGCGATCGGGTGCAATTATCGGATTAGAGCCATTGATAGTGGTCATGTTGCCAATGGGTCTAGTCAATTCCCGTTTGAATAGACTCTGGAAAGTAGGACCCGTTCCAAGTCCACTTGATTGTATATTGAAATTAGTGTCAAAGTAGTCGTCTGTCCGGCAAAGAAAATTTTGATCCTGTCACCACATATTTAAATTGGAGAGTTTTACAAACATCACAGTACACAGTCACAGTATTGCATTCATATTCCGTTTTTTTAGACAATATTTGTATTAATACGGAGTGGTTTCAAAATTGTCCAAAGAAATTTCCCCAATTGCATCATCGGTTATTTAAAACTGATGAAGAGGTTAAATCATAAGGTTGATTTTAAAGGAAGTAAACTTGCAGTATTACATCTGTGTCTGTTGATAATTATAATTTAACGTGGGTTATACCGTCCTTATAAAAACAAAAATGGATGTGATGATCAAGTATAATAATTGCAAAACAAAAATTTGTGTTACTGCAGGAATGTAAAATTGAGATTCCATATACAATTATTAGTCACTGAGCAAAAAAAATATAACTTTAAGTGTAAAAAACATTATCATCTTTACTTTAGAAAATCAATGGAAAAAGGAAATAACTACGTATTGATTCTTATTAAGTGACTTAATTGATTATTAGTATGGTAATACCAAACAAATGTTTAAATACATTACATTCTCAACACTTACATAGCGGTTGTGAAGGATGTGCGGCCATTCTTTTTATGTTGTCGATCTTGTGCTTCAGAACCTAAATACATAACATGGTATTAGTAAATAATGCTTGCTTAAAGTGTACTGGAGAAAGAAACTAAAAAAAAAAAACAACGATGATGGCACAAATAATTACACTGCAAACAAAAACAAATATAAAACATAACTTGGGAGGCTATAGAATAGTGGCAATGCAATGAATACAACGACCATACAACGTGACAAACGTAAAAAATACCAACGAAAAATGGGTATCGGGCGAATAGAGATGATGCAGCAGAAAAAACGAGCTATAGACAACAAAATAAAAACAGTACGGCCAACTCAAAAAAATAAACCACGACACCGACAAGGAAATACCTGAGTCTGATAAAACAGAAAGAGTTCTAACGAGAGAAGTGAGGCGGGAAAAATAAAAATAATAAACTCCGAGCGAGACGGCTAGCCAGCCTTGCGGGTGCAATGATCAAGGGGGGGTGAAGTAAGAAGTCGGATGCGAGGGAGGGGGAGGGGGGCGGTGTCACTGACCGGTTTCATGAGGAGTTTGGAGCGATGCAGCACCAGGCGACAATATTTCGCGTCGTGGCAACCCGGAAACTGCAGACCCTTCACCTGCGACCGACACTGAGTTACACGCACACACACGCACGCCCGTACAAAAAACGCCCCCCTAATCTCATTCTGTTCGAGATTAAACCCTGGCTTTCACACTGCTTTACGAGTGTGTAACATGTTTTATTAATGGCAGTGTACTCGTCGACTTAGCACGTACGTCCTGTGGTGCGAAGCAAGTGTTACGGGGCGCTGAATTGGTCTGAGGCGGTGACTAGATCGTCGCGACACAACTTCTACATAGCGCGTGCGAAGCGCCAGCGGACACGCAACACGAGCACGCACACAATACCGACACCAGTTGCCCGGACGTTACTCTATGAGTGAATATGCAGTGTGGAGTTTGTACAGAACGCTACAATTGACCGCACGTTTGAAGTTAAGGAGAACGTAACATGTTGTACTCGTCTTTAGGAAGGGTACGAATCTCTGATTTATAGGTAAAAAAAATCTATAAATTGACGCAGGGATTTTGAACTGATTTTTTGGTGATACATTTATTGTAATAAGAATTGGATTTAATTTCTGTGTAAAAAGTGAGCAACACATAATTCCTCATAATTATGTTGTACTGTACGTCAATCCAAAAAAATGTAAATGAATAATTACTTTATTTTATTTACAACAACATTGAAAGTTCAACTGATAAAACAGTTCTAATTAACTTCGATCGGACGGACGGAAGAATTAGTTAGAAGTTGGAAGGCAGCGATAGAAGTGATTAGCCAATTAGATTCAGTCATTTAGTAAGGCGACCATTGGTTAGCAGTTATTAGTATGCATTGGTTTACGTGCACGTACTGTAGTGACATACACCTCGTGGCCAGTTAGCTTTGCGACGCTTGCCCGCCGCTCCTGCTGGGAAGTTAACTTTTTGCTTACCGACTAGCTACTTATAATCGTCCTATACGTATCATAATATAATCATTTTATTATGCAAGAAATATCTTAGAAGCATAATATGATATGATAAGCTTTTACAGCCTAACAGGCTATTCGGAAAGATCTGAGGCGTTTGGCGAAAAATTGTAGCCAATGTTAATGAGTGCCGAGTGTTAAAATCGATAGAGAATCTGTACCCGTTAAACCATTCCCAAAACTTTTTAAATGAAATCGCAGAAAAATATTTTTGAATATGTGCGAGATGTAAATAAATAGTATTAGTTTTGTTATTTTGTTATTAAAACAGTGGGAAGAGAATATTATACCTTGGTATCCTATTTATTGGCGGTATGTTTATTTATATTTTAATCACTAATATATATTGGTTAACTTACAACGCTGGTGCCGCGCCCGGATTGGCTCGCCATACCGATGGGCACTTGGGGTGCGTTTGGATTGAGCGGGGAACTGTTGCCCGTCCCAGGCACTGAGCTGTTATTCGGTCTGAAATGAAAGAAACAATTACATTATAACTATATATTGATTCTGCCCGGGATGATTTTTGTCAACATCTTCGACAATCGTCATTTTTCATATGTGGCACGTTATGAGTTTTAGTCGATGCGGGTCCGAAATGGGGCGCTCTTGACACCGCGAGGGCGGGTACGCCTAGACATATACCCCCATGTAAAGAAAGGTAATAAGGTCCCATGCGTTCAAAGGTTTGTAACATATCAGTAGTCACCTACGTGTTCTAAATGTAACATCCATTGTACCGCCTGCTCGCTTGCCAACTTCTCACATAAAAATTACTTTTCATGGATCTATCGTAAAGCTTTACGCGTGGCAACTCCGTGAATGGTGTCAACACGTATCCTATGCGTTATTAGAACTATTCGAAAGGTGTCTTGCCTGTCGTGGTGCTAAACGTACGGAAAAAGTGTCAAAACGTTACCCTACGCGAAAGGTGGTCTAGCCTGTCGCAGTGGATACGAGCGGGAAGTGGAATTAGGGTGTCAACACGTTTGCCTACTCTTTACTAGGACTGTACGAAGTGTGGTGGAACTGTATGTACGTGCATCGTGTCAACACGTCTCCCCACATGAAAGGAGCTCTAGCCTGTCGTGGTGCTGTAGTAGTAGAATAATGTGCGTCAACACACTATTTCTTATATTTACTCTTCGGTTTTCACCATGACAAGGGTTGACTGGTCTCTACCAGCAGCCATGCCATTAAGCATTCAGTCCAACCATTGTAGCCTTTAGCTTAAGATGTAACCAATAGAATTAAAAAAAATAAAAAAAATATTTAGTAGTAGGGGTAGTAGGGTGTCAACACGTTTGCCTACGCTTCACTAGGCCTATACGAAGTGTGGTCTCGCCTGTCGTGGTGCTGTATGAGCAGGAAGCCGGTGTCGGGCAGGGCGGCCGGGTCGGCGGCCAGCGAGAGCAGGTCCACCTCGCACTCGTCCTCCGCCCAGCTGGCGCCGCCGCGCAGCAGCAGCGACACGTCCATCTCCTGCACCTCGCGCGCCGTCGCCACCGCCAGCAGCCCGCCCCCCACCTGCCACAATTCACTTCCATCTCACATCTGAATGCTGATACACGTTTTGTACAACACGTGTCAAACTAGCTTGAAACAATTGCTTGTTAATTAATTTGTAATTTTTAAAGTGGCAGAGCCACGCAACAGCTTCGACTGTTACACGAACGGGTTGGTCCGTCCGGGTAAGTACTACTACTTCGCTGAAGACCGGCGCGAAGTGAGAGGGTTATACTTCTGCGTTTCGTCTGTTGCGTGAAATAGTCCTCTATGAGGACCCACCCAATCCTGCAACAGTGAACACCGTGACTCACGCCGGTCTTATGTGACGGCGTGGTACTTCCGGGACGAGCCGCTATTGGTCGGCCCTACCACTGTCCACTCGAAAGACCGGGTGTTGCGCTAAGGTACGCGAGAATCTCAACTCGCCCTGTTGAGGCAGAACGCGGCGATGGAGTCCTGCTCCTTGTGGATGATGCGCACGGGGCTGTGCAGGTCGTCGTCGGGGCGCGGCTGGTGGGGCACGCAGCCGCCGCGCCCCTCCGCCCCGCCCCCGCCCGCCCCCTCCGCGCCCTGCGACTGCGCGCGCCGCCGCGAGAACACGGCGCGGATGAACACGTCCTGAGAGGATTCAATCTATCTATATTAACACTCTTCCTCGTCGCACGCTTAATTTCTGAAGGTCGTTTTTAACTACAATGGGCTCCTGTCGCTGTTCGTAGGCAAGGGTGAAAAGAGCCCCAGGAAATCTAGAAAAAAATATTGCTAAGCAGAGTAGAGGAGAAAAGATCTCGAGATAAAGCAAAACACCGCTGGTCTGACCAGATCAAGGCCATACTTAACCTGCCGATTACTGAAGACGCTCTGTGACAGACTGAAGACAGATAATCCTAGCGGAAACTAGTAGACACCACCAATATTAACACTATAAATTGTAGATTTTCGTTGATGAATGAACAAAAACTTTCGCCGCTGCGGGATTCGAATCTGCGCCTTCTGTTTTCGCACCCAGATGCTATACCAACTAAACTCATGGCGCAAAAATTTCGACAGCTAAGTAAGTTCATTGTCAACGCTAATCTGCACTCGAGACGAAACTTGATGTCATCGCGGCGCAATTCCTTAGTATTAACTTCGACGCTGGGGGTCATGGGCTCGATTCCTACATGGGACGAATATTTATGTTGTCCACGTGAAATTCATGTCTATAATTTCCTTACAACACAAGATATTGTTATCCTGCAGTCAGGAAAACGTAAAAAAATATATACAGGTAGACTTTTTTAAAGGTGCCCAAACTTACACAGAAGGTTCATACTCGGTAGTATAATATATTGAAATAAGAATAAACTTATTTTTTTTTTTCAAATTACCATTCTATTCCTTAAAAATCAGAACTTGTTGACAACGCGGTAGTCATTCATAAATACCTAGATTTTTATTGTTCACGTACACAAACGGACTTGTGTGCGTGTTAGTTATGAATGATCGCGCGTAAAATAAATGAGTTGCGTATAAATCACGCACTTTTTGAGATAAGTTCAAATGAATGTAATTAATTATTTACGAGTGATTTAAAATATTTATAATTTTTTATATAACATTATTTATGTCTAGAATTTAATTAAAGAAAATGGATACACTTAGAAAAGCCACACTATATATAACAAGAACTTTTAAAAACAGTAGTAAAAGATGAGAATTTTTTAGAAGTTAATAGGTTATGTTAAGTTATAAGCAGTTAAGGACTGCTGTACAAAATTGAAAGTAAATTCTACTCCGTACCTGAACCTGTTCCTGGCGAACCAAATAACTCCATAGGCGCCTCGCTGGGGCAGCACTATACAGAACAGAACTGAATGGCGTGTTGTGCTTCTCTAATAAGCATCTGTGAAAAAGATTACATAGTATTTAACTTTCAATTAAAAAAAAAGTTAAATTTAAGTCTAAATTTTTTTTTACAATAGTATTACTAACATGACATGCATATATGGGTTGATGTACAAATGCGAAAGTGAAAACAAAAAGACATATACGAAAATAGAAAACAGAAATCTCGGTAAACCCTCCAAGCATGGGGTAGTGTTCGTTTATTTGTGTATAAATAAATAAATATTTCGGGATATATTTTTACTCAACATTATCTAGTCCCAAAGTAAGCTGTACTATGGATACTAGGTAACTGATAAACATACTTTTCTTTTTTAAATAAATACATATTATAGTTACATAAACACCCAGACACTAGAACAGTCATCAACGTTCATCAACGTTCATCACACAATATTTTCCAGTAGTGGGGATGGAACCCACACCATCTAGCGCAGGAGACATGTCCACAACACCAATCGTGTGTATGAAAGTATGAGATGTTCACTGAAGAACAAAGCGTAATTTCCACTCGCCTGTACTTATTGATGGGCGGGCCGGCCGTGATCTGGTCGGGGAAGCAGCCCGGGATGTAGTCCTGGGGAGGCGCCCTGGACTCGAGGGTCTCGGTGAGCTGCTGCTGCCACTGGTCCACGCGCCGCAGCGCGCCGTGCACCATGGGGCTCGTCGTCGCCAGCTCTGTAAAACGGAAGAGCGCATCGTGTTGATGGTTTCTTGTAAATCGCTGCGATTTGATACAGCCACCAAAACATTTGCAATTCATCAAATAGAAGTATGTAGCATTTCCATTACAACATACTTAATAATAAATTTAAACATACTTTTCTTTTGTAAATAAATACACACCAGTGACCCGCCTCGGCTTCGCGCGGGTACAATAGATTATACATATAAACCTTCCTCTTGAATCACTCTATCTAGTAAAAAAAATCCGCATCAAGATCCGTTGCGTAGTTTTAAAAATCTAAGCATACAGACAGCGGGATGAATTTGTGGACTTGGATGGACACACTAGAGCTATAAATTCCTCCAGTGTGGCATGAATATGAGCGGTGGTGATCACTTACCACCAGGTGAGCCTCCTGCTCGTTTGCCCCCTTTTTCCATAAAAATAAAACACCCACCAAACACTAGAAAAATACTATTTTCTTCACACAATATTTTTCCAGTAGTGGGAATCGAACCCACAACCTCTGACGCAAGAGACAGGGTCACTATAAACTACGCCAATTGAATGAGGAGAGATATTTATTTATTTAAAAAAAAGAACAAATCATTCACCGGTCATCTCGATGCCGCAGAGCTGCAGGAACTGCTGCAGCTTGGTCTGAGCCAGCCGCAGCACGGCCACGCGCATCACGTGCCAAGAGTACGAGTCGGGGTCCGAGTGCTCCGTGTTGGCACCTTTGCGCCTCTTCTCGCTTCTGAAATCGTAGATTTTATCATTTACCCGTGACGGAATAGTATGTGAACCTATGGACGTGTGCGTGAAACGTAAGCTAGTATCCTCATAAGGTACAAAAGAGACGCAAAATATGCTAATTTGCTCACAATTCATGGGTTAAAATTTTAATTTTTATCGATAAATTGTCAAAATCGTCCGGTTGTAATCTTCCGGGTAACGCACCCAGCTTTTTTACCGACTATGGTAAGCGGCCCCAACTGCTGTCTCGATTTGTAATTTCATTTGACAATCTTTATAGCAAATTTATTCGGTGTTGACCTTCGATTCTGTTGTAAATTTGTAGTATTACATTTTCAAAAATATAAATTAAGAACAAGGGCGCCATGTCTCGTTAAAAATAATGATCGTTAAATATTATTTGTATTCATATTAACATAGATGACGTTAAGAATCGTTTAAATAGAGGACGACGTTTATAATAAAGAAAGTATAGTGAAGTTATCGGCCGCTTAGCTTAGTTGCTAAAGCTTCTGGACCCGTTACCTGAAGACACAGGGTTCGAATCTCACTCCGTCAAAAATTTTGTTAATTTATCTACAACTAGCGACCCACCTTCCTTTTGAATCACTCTATCTAGTAAAAAAAACAGCATCAAGATCTAGGCATCTAGGCATACATAAGGACAGACAGACAGCGTGACTTCGTTGTATACTATGTAGTGATAATTCACATTTAGAATTTGCGCTGTATGGCAGTGTACCGTAACGAATAAAAAATATCATAGTATTTACTTATTGGCGCTGGTGTCGAAGATGTCGTCATCGTCAGGCTCGCTGGCGCTGTCTTCCGCGTCATCGGCGCCGGACTCCGCCGAGTCGTAGTCGTTGTTCTCGGGATCTTGTTCCGGCGTAGGCTGTGCGAAAGAGACGCACGATTAACAGTTAATTAATGTTAATGAGTAACGACAAAAATATCAAGCCGAATATTTTCCCGACATAATAGGGTAGAGTTTTACATGTCTTAGTCATGGTTAAAATATATTTGAGGCTATGTACAAAATTATAGAAATCTCTTACTTAGTGAACATTTAAAAAATTTTCACATCGTTTATATATAATATACAATATGTTTCCCCTTTCTTATTAGATTTGACTCGATTTTCGTGGTGGACATGTACCTGTCTCTTGCGCCACGGGGCGTGGGTTCGATCCCCACTACTGGAAAAATATTGTGTGATGAACATAGTGCTATTCTAGTGTTTGCGTGTTTATATATTATCTATACCGTATTGATGTATAGTTATCTGCTCACTTTGGGACTAGATAAATATCTGTCGACGCATAGCGACGTACCTTGGTCAACAAGAAGGTGAGTATGCTGCACATAGGCGGCACGAACTGCTCTCGGTATGTGGGTCGACCCTCTTGAATGTTCTTATGTGGCGTAGTGGGCCCCATTCCAAGGAGACGCATGTGGAGTAGGGCGCGTTTCTCCCGCAGAGAGGACCAGACCGAAGTGCCTTCAGTTCGTTCCACGAGCTTTGGCTGTGTATTTCAATTATTTAAAGTTGGTTAGAAGCATGACATTTGGCGTATGCCGAACTTAAGATATTTGTCGTGATGTACTGTAAATTGGAACAATCAATCTAGGATAGATCAAAGGAAAAATATCAAATTTTTCCTTTGATTGGAACCGCAACGTTTTAAATTGAATTGTAAGTAGTTAGACGCATGAAATTTGAATAGCTTGTACGTGTTTTGCACTTCAAGCTTTAAACATTCTTCGTGAAAAATCAAAAGAAATGCAAGTGAGTATATCTGTGATGCGTCGGTGCCGTGAGAACATATCATAATAACCTTAAAATCTTTTATTCTGTATGGTTGCTCATATCATTTTTGCAAAAGCGCGTTAAACGCTAGAGATTCTAAAAAAATGTGCGCGTCGTTACTAAATCTTCCTAGCCGGTACAGTCGCGTACCGAGAAGAAGCGAGTGATTGTGTAACATTACGGACGGTGTCTGCAACTGTACCTAGAAGGTGCGATAAGTTTAACCGCCGCAAAAAGCGCGCCATTAACAATGCCTCCTAGTTGATACAGTCGCGTACGGAAGACGACCTAGTCATCGCGTAACATACGAGCGGTGTTCGCGACCGTACCTAAAAGGTGCGACTACACTGCTTGCGACTGTACCTAGTTTCGATAAAGTTAACCGCCGCACGAAAGGCGTCGTCAACACAGCTCCGTGGACAACCTAGTCATCGCGCAACATACGTGCCGTGTTCGCGACCGTATCTAGAGGGTACGATAGTACCGCTTGCGATTGTACCTAACTGCGATAGAGTTGACCACCGCACGAAGCACGCCGTCAACACAGCTCCATGGACAACCTAGTCATCGCGCAACATACGAGCAGTGTTCGGGACCGTACCTAGAAGGTACGATATTACCGCTTGCGATTGTACCTAACTGCGATAGAGTTGACCGCGGCACGAAGCGTATTATTACAAGCGTTGTTTGCGACAGCACCGCTTGCGACTGTACCTAACTGCGATAAAGTCGTCGCTCCGTAGCCGGTAGAGTCGCGCGCGCAATACCTGCGGGGGCGCGGGCGCGGTGGTGAGCAGCCGGCGCACGCCGCCGCCGAAGAGGCGCGCGTGCGCCCGCGCGTCGGCCGTGTGCGCGGCCAGCCGGTAGAGCAGGTGGGCGTCGCGCGCCGCCAGCGCCCAGCCGAGCAGCGCCAGGTACACGGCGCAGAACGCCTCCGCGAGCAGCACCGCCAGCCGCGGCGAGTCCTCCTCCTCGGCCGCGCGCAACGCCAGCCCGCGCAGCGCCGACACGCCTGCCAGGAGCCGATGATATTGTAAATACAAAAAAGAGGTAGATGTGACACTAGCGCACCGAAACTGTGGCACTAAAATTACGCCATTTCGCCAACCAGTAACAAGTCTAATGCAACAACAAAAATAGCGGACACTAATAAAGTACTCGGAGCGAGATTATCAGTAAACTATTTCGTCCCATCGAATCGATCTTCTCGAAACTAAGACAATCCCTCTAAATGTTTCATATGAATCGACGTTATATTAATTCTTAATATTTTTTTGACGTTGGTCAAACGGAAATGTGGGTTCAAATCAAAGCATCTGGTTAGTTGATGTGCCTGTATTGTTCTTGCTTTAGGTTACGAACTGTTGCTTGTTTAGTCTATCACAAAAGTGATTTAGGTTTGAAAAGTGACAACTCCTTTGAATTTTAACACGCTCCTATACCATTTCGATACATGTAATAAAATGACAGTTAGCTCAGTACATACAAGTAAGAATATTAATTCCAAAACATTTAAGTGCTACATACCAGGCCACTTATTGGGCGAAGTTGTGACTGAAAGCTCTTCAATCGAATACCGTCTCGGCCGTACGAGAAGATTCGAAGTACCAGGCGTCTCTGCTATCATTCTAAAGAAATTCAAAGTCAAAGTCAAAGTATATTTATTCAATATAGGCCTAACTTAAGCTCTTATTGAACGTCAACAAAAATCTACCACCGGTTCACTAAACTAGACCGTGCACAGAGAAGAACCGGCAAGAAACTCTGCGGTCTTGTTCTTTTTGTTTTATATATATATATATATATATATTTAATGCAATTATACACACTTATTTGGGTATAAAATCAGCAGCAGCCAGAGGTCTTGCAAGTGCAGAGCAAGAGTCATTTCCAAACATCCTTGTCCTCTATGTATTCTTGGATATTATAGTAGGCCCTTGCCATTAAGGTAGCTTTTACAAATTGTTTGAAATTGTTTATACTTAGTTGTTTGTGGATGTCACCTATTTTATTATAAAAGTTAATGCATCTTCCAAGGTACAACAAGATAAGTGTTCGTAAAACTTTTTACCGTTATATACAATATTCAAAGTCGTTTCGCAGAAAATCATCGAGTATAATACTTCAAATCATTATATAGTATAACTAGCCCCCGACTTCGTCCGCGTGGAATTTAAAATAAATAAAATTTCTTAAATAAAAGTAGCCTGAGTTACTTCTTATTACATCAGCTATCTGCCAGTGAAGGTCCCGTCAAAATCGGTACAGCCGTTTCAGAGACAAGCCGGAACGAACAGACAGACAAAAATTGTAAAAAAATGTTACTTTGGTACACGGGACGTGTATACTTCCTTATGCATTTAGTAAAAAGTGGTTATTTTAATATTACAAATAAACAATACAATTTTATTTATCTGTATAGATGTTATAGATTACGACCACCCCTACCCTTCGTGGTGCTGGGCGTGCTTCAAGCTGAACGTATCAGAGTCGCAGAGGCTTTGGTATATGCAAGCGGAAAGGGCGACTGCGAGCTCTCGCAGCGTGTGCAGAATCCTCGTCGCAGAACCGCCCGGTATTCCCAACTCGCCCAGAGTACCCAGCATGTCGTGCGCCACAGACTGTGAAATAAACAGTGTTGTGTGAAATAAATTGTGAAATAAATAAATATTTCAGGACATAATTTACATGTAGACATAGATATCGATCATTCTAATGTTTACGTAAAAAAGAATATCGCATATTCGTGATTTGGAATTTTCATAGCAGTTTACATTGAAAAACAATCCGTTGTCGAAGTGCGGAAAATAACACGATTGTGTACAGTAATACATAGGCTTGCAGTCACTTTTTAGCATTAAAAAACGCCACACCGGCGAGTGATTCATATGATGATAAGCGAATTCGAGTTGGGTAATATTAATATAGGGTGAGCTTTTCACTGCCTCACTCACAGAACGAAACGTCTCACTAGTTTTACGGTCCGTAGTTCTACTAAGGTGTCCTAAGGCTATATAGCCTCTGGTGTTGCACGAATGAGCGGGCTCGTCCGGGAAAGTACCACGACCTCACAAACAATCGGCGTGAAATGAGAACCGAGTTCCCGCCGAGTTTCTTTCGCCGGTTCTTCTCAGGTCAGTGGCTTTTCTTTTCCGAACCGGTAGTAGCGTTTTGACAATCAATAAGTATAATGCTTCTATATTGAATAAAGATATTTGATTTGATTTGAGTGGAAATGTTATACTTTCGCGTTTTGTCAGTGAGGTAACCGGGACCCACATTTTTAAAGGTCTTCAACGCATCGAACCGCCTGCTCGCTTGGCAACTATTCACATAATAAAAATACATAAACATGGAAGCATTTTGTGAGGTTGTCGGGTGCCACCAGGCTTTGTCCATTGGCGGTGGTAATCACTTAACGAGGAGCCAATCCACCTGCTCGCTTGTGTTTACATTTAAAAAAAAAGAAGTGAATGTAAGCTGCCACGAAGTACGAATATGAGCCACCTTCGCGGCAGTCTGTTTGGAGACCTACGTTCAAGAGTGGACTCAAACAGGCCGAAACGACGATGAAGAATGCAAGCCAGCAGATAAATCCGAGAGGCGCACCTGCAGATGGCGCACGGGGTCCGCCACCACCGTGTTGTTGGTGGCGACGGCGGCCGCGAGCAGCGGCAGCGTGGTGGGGAAGGGCAGCGGCGAGAGCAGCTGCTGGTGCTGCTTGTCCTGGCCCAGCTCCTGCAGCAGCAGCACCAGCTCCATGCGCACCGAGGCCAGCCCGCCGCCGCCGGCGCCGTGCAGCGAGCAGTACGAGAGCAGCGTGCGCAGCAGCGTCTCGTTCGCTGCGGTTTTCTTTATTACATGCAAGCGAGCCGGCGCGATTTTTTTATGCGAAAAGGTGGCAAGGGAACTGCCGGTTCGCCCGTCGTTAGAATGCGTTCAAATGTTTTCTTCTCGATAACGCAAACGGGCGGACGGACAGACGGACGGCGTGGATATACAAGATGTATTTTTTATATAGGGGTAGGGCGAGATGCCTTATTGTTGATTTAAATATGCCTATCGCATTTTAAGACCAATACCACAACGCGGGCCTCAACTTCGCATTGCACTTGCATTTCGTCCGGTAAGCGAGATAAACGGAGCTAAGTTTATTATAGGCAACGCATCTGCAACCCTGCAAATGTCACGGGCGGCGGTTGTCACTTAACACCGGCTTAAGCAGCTCGCTCGCCGCCCCCTAACACAAAGGAAACAACTAAGCATCGATCCTCTAGCCGCGCCTTACGCGCACCTTTGAGCCAGCGGCGCCTGCGCACTGCGCGCTGCACCTTCGCCTCGAAGTCGGCCTTCTCGCGCACCAGCAGCTGGTGCAGCGTGGGCCGCTCGGGCAGCGGGGGCGGCTCCGCGTCCGCGCACAGCAGCTCGCCCGCCGCGCCCCCGCCGCCCCGCGCCCCGCCCGCCGCCGCGCCCGCCGCCGCGTACCCGCACAGCCGCCGCAGCGCCTCCACCTCGCGCTCCAGCCAGATGTACAGCTGGTAGCGCAGGTGGCCGCCTGCGAAGCACCGGCAATAAAATGCAACTCGTATTTTGAACATTGCGTGGGGTGTGGGGAAGGGGTTGTGTTCGGTTCAGTATGGAACCAAACAGCTTTGTTTGCACTTTTTACCTAAATTAGAAATTCTATTATCATTAGTATCATTATAAACGGTGTTAGAAGCTAGCCACGACAGGTTCGGTAGTAAGTAATGACGACCACTGCGACCGAGGTCTATTGCAGTCGTTCCTTCGAAACCATTGCTCCCCTAATGATGTACGATAACATTATGCTGTTTAGTGGGACAAACACCCAGATCTGAAACAACTGTGGGTCAAACAATCAGTTGTCTAGTTGGTAATCCAAACCACGACCCCCGGCGCTGAAGCCAAAACCTTGGCGACTATGCCACGGAGTCATCACTACGGAGATACGGAGTTAGTGTTTATTCATTAAATTTGCATAAAAAAACAAACATTACATTTTAAACAGACTTCGAAAAAGGATGGTTTTCAATACTTTGGCAGTTTATTATGTTTGTTACCTTAGAACTCAATCATTTATGAAGCGATTTTAATAATTATTTTTGCCCAATGAACCCAATGATTCCATTTAAATTCCATGTGGTCCCATAAAAATTTTATTGGTACTGGAGTTACTACGGAGATACATAGGGGAACTCCGAAAAACCAAATGAGGTATTTATGAATCTTAGTGAGTGATTTATTTAGAATAAAGTCAGATTTTTTTGGTAATATTTTTTAAAACTCATTAAAATCGAATTCTTCAAGATAAAATTATATTCAATATTTCCAATATTATATTTAATATTCAACAATATGTTTTTCTTTCAAGCACCAGAAATTGCTATTCTTGTTTTACCGACGGTGACCAATAAAATCTGAAAAATTAAAATCTTAACAAGAGAACCTATTCTAACTACAACTCGGTTACATCAATATTAACATAACTTATATAGATTATATTTTATGACCCACCATCAACCTCGAAACCAGTTGCCAATGTGCTAAGCTCCTCCATCAATATCTTGAGACACGCCACGAACTTCAGCTGTTGCGCCATAATGTCTACGGAAGGAGCATCTTCCTTCTGCTCTGCGTCAACTGCGTTGGCCGGTTCCTCCGTCTTATCCATTTTCATCTCCAGAGGCGGCGTGGATGCGCCCGATGCGTTAGATCTTTAAAAAACCATAAGTGATCATCATCATCCTTTCAGTCTGTTTGAGTCCGCTGCTGAACATAGGCCTCCCCCATAGACTACCACCAAACCATAAGTATTATACAATAAATGATTTGAAAATGGTTTCCCTATTTCATTTTGCTTTACTAGTTAGGATTATTAGGAAAATTTTGGTAAGATAAAATGGCCCCATATTACAACTACTGCTAGAATTTATATTATCATCCTAATTCTTGGTAGGTAAATAACATCACTCATGGCTCTGTTATCTCCTGCCCTTTTTACCTAGGTGGGGTCGGCAAAATATGACAATCATGTTGTTAAAATGTCTAGGATTTATTTTACAACCAGCCGTCTGCTTGACTTCGACCCTCTTTTGGAACAAACATCCGGAACAATTATCTGTAGGTCGCACAAATACTTATCTCGTATGAGAATCGATCCCAAGACCCCCGGGCTCAGAAGCCTTAGCAACTGCGCTATGGAGCAATTATAAATATGCTTAAGGGTTTTTTGTTAGTATATTAATGACTCATCGTATTTTCAAAATGTTTCATGTATTATATATTAATAAATCCAGGCCAAATAAATTGTCTTGAATAAAAACTCACTCTTTGTCATCATCATCCCAGGCAAGAACGAGTTCGTCATTCTTGATCGAACTGACCGGCGCGCCCCAATCCACTGACGATGAACCCCAATCAACATTTTCTTCCTCTGTTGACAGAATATAGGTTTATAATAAATATATGTCATATATGTCTAACTGTCTGTATAACTTCGCCAAGTGTGACTTTTATGGTAAAAGAGAAAGACGATGAGGATATATAAGCACAATTGTTCCTTACTATGTACGAGGCGCTAATATCGAATACGTTGAAAAATTAATAAATTAATATAATAAAGTGTAACTGAATAATGATTTCATCCTACATGAAATTTTGACTTGATATTCATAAATTGAAGAGCCGTGATAGCTCAGTGTCCGGGCGCTCGCCTTTAATTCAATATACTCGAGCAACCTGAGTTCGATCCCCGGTGCCGGCACCAATGAAGTTTTTAACTTTAAGTGCTGACTTATCACGTGCTCCGCGGTGAAGGAAAACATCGTGAGGAAACCTGCATATTTTCGAAATAATAACAAAAAAAAATATATATATATTTCGAAGATATGAGAAGTCCGCCAATCCGCAGTGGGGCCGCGTGGTGGACTATGCCCTGATACCCTCTGTACAGAGGAGGCCTTTGCCCAGCAGTGGGACATGTATAGGCTGTTACTTTACTTTACTTTTTATTCATAAATTCGATATATGAATGTAATCATAAGATTATTTCGAATAATACAACAGAATATGTTACTATTTATTCCCCAAATCTCTAAACGTTAACATTTTTTTGAGAATTAATTGACAAATCGTTATTACTATTTTTTTTTAATTTATATGCTTAATGCATCCAAAAATTAACTATTTATGAGTACAAAACGTGGCTTTGCAGCGTACTTTTGGCAGCCGAGTCCTCCACAATCTGACCGGTGTGTATAAAGGTCTCTTCGACCGATGGGGCAGAGACTGGGTGTTTAATCTTCTCGTCCCTGACGCGGGCGGGCAGCTTCGACAGGACCTCCAAGGCCAGGGCCGGACAGCCGGCCTTGAAGTGGCCATGCGCCGTTTGGAAGTACAGGCGCCGCTCCAGGCGCGTAATGCCCTCTTCTGCTTCCTGCTGCAGTAGCGCCAATGTCCCACCCTGCAGAAAGAAAATGGTTTACGAAAATGCAAAGAAATATGGCGGTTTTTATGCGTTTTTCATAGCAAAAACATTCCACATTACATCGTGTAGGTACTACAATAAATTTACGACGCCTGTAAAAACTGCTATTTATGATCAGATATTTTGTGTGTCAGTACGACATAATGGCTTAACGAAAAATAAAGGTATACTATCGTGACATAAAGATTCAATACTACTTAATCACATCCATTTCTTAAGACGTTTGCCGGTCACATCACGCACATATTCTATACAAATGGCCGGGCGCTTAGCCTGTACCTCGATTTATGCGTGACTCAACTTGAGGGCTCCCGAGGGACCGGTTCGGGAGACCGCCAAGCTTTTCGGGCACTTTGACGGACGCTCCATGTAACTAGGCTCAAGGGCCCCCGACAGGGGACCTCTGCTTGGGCTGTTACTCAGTACCCGTTTAGCATTCGAGGGTGCCTGAGGGCCGGACATCGGTTCGATTGGTAGCTATTGTTTTTTTTTAATTAAGGAAAAAGTATGCAAACGAGCAAGTGGGTCAACTGATGGTAAGCGATGACGGCCGCCCGTGCCACACTTGCTACATTGGAGGAGTCACAGTTGCATTGTCGGCCTTTAAGGTGGGAGTAGGCGCCCTTGAATTTCTCTAAGCCATACCGTCGGCGTCAACTGGTTCCGCAGACTGTGCAAAGCATTAAACTTTCGAGCTAGTCCAGTGGTCGAACGGGAGGTATTCGGCGGCGGGCACCTGGGCGGGCAGGTTGTGCCGCTTGAGGCGCGGGTGCGTGCGCAGGTACACGTAGAAGTTGAAGACGCTCGGCGCGGGGTCCTGCGCGCGCGCCGCGTGCAGCCGCCCGGCGGGGCCGACCAGCGTATCCAGAGCCTCGCCGTAGCGGCGCAGCTCCCACAGCGCCATCGAGCGCACGAACGGGTCGGGGTGCGCGCGCTCCGGCTCTATCTCGCCTTCGCCCTCGCCTTCGCCGCTGCAACGACACGTCAAGGACAACTTTCACTGTGGGAGGGCCGCGAAGCAGCTCGCTGTTGCACGAATGGGTAGATCCTTCCGGGGGAGTACCACGACCTCACAGAAGACTGGCGTAAAGTGGACGTGATATACTTCTGTGCTACGTCTGGTGAGTGAGGTAGCCGGGGCCCCGCTTTTGCACGAATGGGTAAATCCATCCGGGGAAACACCACAACCTCACAGAAGACCGGCGTGAAGTGGAAGTAATATACTTCTGCGCTTCGTCTGGTGAGTGAGGTAGCTGGGTCCCACGGTATTAAAAGGTGGAAATGTATTTGAAACTCGACGGATGTTGCAAATGTCCATGGGACGGTTATCACAGTTATCAAACTAATCACAGGCAAAACCGTATTATATAAAAGCTATTTACCCTAGAACCTCATCCATGAGTAGTTTCTTCAAACTCGGTGGCAGCGTGCTGTCCGATTCGTATAGGCGGGCGATGACCATCGCCAGTTGCAAATCCCCAAGCCGCGTAATGAGCACCTAAAGAAATCAATATTTATACACAGGTTTATAAAAGATTTCCTCTTGTCTTGATTGTGCAAATGCTTAGCTATTGGCTTCGGAGAGTCGTGGATTTGATTCCCATACAGTAGAAGCATTTGTTTAAATTACGGATAATCTGTCTGGTCGTTTGTTCCCTTGACAAATGCCTTTAATATTATAATTTATAAATTAATTTAGGCCGCACCTAGATAAGATTAGGGCACATGGAAGATATAGGTCAACTATATACCTCCCTCCTCCTACAGTATGTAATAGTAATAGACACATATTACCTTAAAAAAATAAGAAATAAGCATCGAAAATTATATTAATATATTAATAAAAATACCTCCAAGGCGTCCTTCAAAGCTCCTCCCAGTAGGAAAAATGCCGCTGCGTGCTCAAACCTCTGCTTTCCGAGCAGAACGAACGCGTTCTTCAAAGCGGCCTTTCGCCACCGGTCCTCGGAGAAGTCGTTTGTGAAGAACTGCAGATATTGAAACGATGAGCGTCTCACACGCTTTGCAATAGACAAACGAAATGACAGTCAAGACATAACCCATAATTAAATTTCAATGGTGAGCTGGTTTCGAGGTTTCCCTCACGAGTGCGTCCACAAAAATAGGTCCATGTAAACAGCAATAAGTTCACGTCAATGGTGAATTATCAAAAGCAAGAGGAAGCGCTTCAAGCACACAGAACAACAATTAGGATCGTACACGTGTACATACATTTTATTTATGTACTTTTACGCTGCACACTCCCATCATAGCGCCAATAATCAGTCACTATATAAAAAATTGTGATCTCACTTTCCAAGAGCTATCTCACCCCCCCCCCCCCCCTCCCACCTATCTCCACCACTCCAAGAAAAAAGATGATACATTTTAGCCACAGACAATTTGTTTTATGACAGTTTTACGCATGTCCGGAGCAGTACCATTGGGTGGACCGCCTCCTCATATCTATCTTTTCACTTTAAAAAAAAAACTTCAACCCCCCCCCCCCCCCCAGCACTCACCGCAGTCATCTTCTCGTCGCGGTTGGATCGGAAGAGGCCCCACAGCAGCATCCGCTTCTTCATCGCCAGGTAGTAGAGCGCCGCGTCCATTGGCTCTTGCTTGGCCATGTACGCGGCGCGCGCCAGCTTCTCGACGCACGTGCGCAGCAGCTCGCCGCGCACCCACCAGCCGACGCCTTAGGGAATGTTCGAAATAAGATAGAGAGAGACATTTCAACTACTAACAATTTCGAATATAGTTTCACAACGATATTTCGAACAAGAGATGTGATGTATGCATTGCTATTAGAAATTAAAACTTTGGTAGAGATTTTAATGTTCCATCTTTAGTGCAGAGATCTAGCACTGTACAAATCTAAATCTCTACACACTTACCGAGTTCCCTCATGGTGGACCACTTGGGCTGGCCCTTCGCGTATCCCGGCACCAAGGAGAGCAGTTGCTCGTGCGTCTCCGAGTGGTACGCCCACACGAGGTTGCAGGTGCCCACTCCGCTCCTCTGCAGCGCGGCCCGCTGCGCCAGCGGCAGGCAGCGCAGCAGGTAGCCGTAGTGCTTCATCGCCAGCAGGAAGCGCAGGCCGCAGTCGTCCAAAGAGTCTGCGGGTGTCATGATGCACGTTAGTAAATATATAATAACCATTTTTTTTTTTAATTTGTGGAAAAAGTACGAAAAGATTGTCGAAAATTTTAATGTTTAATCTTAAGTGCAGAGATTAACACTATAAAAAATTTAAATAATAATATATTTTTACTAACGAAAAACAAAACCGACTTCAAATATCTCGCTCTGTTTGAATTTTATAATTGATTTTCGGGGGTTCCCTAAGTATCTCCGGAGCCTAAGATGCAATAAAATAAATATGGGGCCACACGGGAAGCACCAGCTTTCAATTAAAAAAAGGATCATTAAAATCGTTTGACTTGGTCAAAAGTTCTGATATGACAAACATTAAAACAATACAGCCTAATCCTTCTAACCTCCTCCTTTTGAGGTCGGTTAAAAAACCAGCCAAGAGCGAGTAGGTCTCGCGCACGAACGGTCCGGCGGGTACTTTTTGAGCACGATATAAGACGTAGCACATGCGGGCTGAGCCTCGGGATAGAAGCTGGTCGGTAAATGAATTGACCAACACCGAGATCCCGTCGCGTACCTGGCAAGAACTCTTGGCCGCCGTTGTGGACGGGGTCGACGCGGGCGTTGGCGGCGAAGCGCTCGGTGAAGTCCGCGTCGCACGTTGACACCGTGTCGGCGAGCGCTAGCAGGTGCATCTGGTCCAGGGAGCTCAGCCCCGGCAGGTGCGTGTGCGTCAGCAGCCGCGACAGGATACGCCCTGGAACGAAATCCGACGATCCGACAAATCTGCAGGCTCGCACAATGAGTAAACTTACGAGAGCAATTGCCTTTTTTTAAAGTAACAAAAGAGCTGGCCGCCGGCCGCCTATTGACATTTGCAACACCTGCAGGTTTACGACTACGGCTACCTCACTCACCAGCAATTCCGCTAATAATAAAAGTATGCACTTCCGCTTCACACTGGTCTTCTGTGAAGTCGTGGTACTGACTCGGACGGACCTGCCCATTCGTGCAACAACGAAGGCTGTTACGTGGCTGTACCACAACTGTGCTTACTTTTCTTAATTAAAATTTCGATAAAATTTATCCGCGTTTTACCTTGCCTAGGTCCGAAATGCGATAGCGGCTGTCTCTCCGGCATGGAGGGTCGTCGATCCACTCCGTCCTCATCGCTGAGTAGCAGCGCGTCTAAGTCTTCCTCCGTTTCCATTGTACCCTCGAAAAGTTCATTGTAGTCCTGAATGTTATCAACAATACTGTTAATACTTTAGGATACTGATACTCCGTACCAATTCATTTAGAAGCTTATTTCCCCGTAAATGTTATCAATTCTTTTTTTTTTACTTACCTTTGCTTCTTGAATTGTAGACGGATGATGAGGTGACTCCTTGTCGGCGACCAACAATGTCCAAAGAGGTAGAGGCGGCACGGACGTTAACTCAGCATAATCCAATTGTACGTCTTCCGTTATCTGCATTTCATTTTCTTTAATTATTTTCATTGCAAACGCCGTGCAAACAGATAATGACAAAAAGGGTTAAACTTAGTGTTTTATTATTAATGATTAAAAAAACGAAATCAACATAATAATAATAAAAGAACCATAAGTATTGCCTTTTTTAAATGACAAAAATAATAAGGTTAAATATATTTAGAAGATTACAACGGCATAAAAATAATAAAATAAAAAAATATTAACGCCTCAGCGTTAAAAGAAGCGTTGCACACAGACAAACAACGACCGTTCTGCCATTCCCACATACCAGACGCCGAATGAAAATTATGAAATATCGAAAATTACCATTTGACTTACATATTATCACAGCGTAAGCTAATGCATGCAATGGGTTTATTTATGGAACAGTGCAACGAACCAAAACACCGAAGTTGATTTATGAGTCACTTAAAACAACCTATGATAATTATAATATATCTATTTTCAATTAGGCCTGATCATAATTTTATTCTGCTGTTACAATTAAGAATCTGCTAATTTAATTTATTAGTAAATAAATATATAGCTACACAACATAAGGGTAACTCAGTTTTTTTTCTAACCACATTTCACAAATAATTAACAATAAAACTGTCCCATATTAGTAAAAAAAATTAATTTAATCTGTCTTTCATCGCGCGGACGTCGCTTCGCGCCATTTTTTACCTGTGTGACGCCGTCAAGGGGCGACGCAGCACCGGCCGCGAAGGACACGGACAGCGTGCGCGACCGCGACCAGCCGCGCTGCAACACACGCCACATGCACGCAACATGTGCCCGTTTCACGCACGCGATACACATGCACGTCACATGTGCCCGTTTCACGCACGCGACATGTACACGTTGCACGCACGCGTCTCACATGCACGCCACGTGTGCCCGTGTCACTCACGCGACACGCATGCACGCGACACGTCATGCGACACTGACAGGATTGCCAACATACAGCGACATCGCTTACTTGCAGAACGACGCAATGTGTTCCTTACTTAGCGAAAATATTACGTTCTAAACATCGTTTCCTTTGATCTTAGGCTACTTAGCTAACAAAATCCCAGTTGGAAAAACAATCCTCTATAGAGAACTGAAATTGAACTCTTCTTGTTCCTAACTCTGAGACATGCGGGTTTACTTACAGCAATATAAAATGTACGCACCAAAACGTATAATATGTAGATAATAAAACAATAATTGTATTCGACGAAATTTATTGTAAAGTAACACGATATTGCTTTTACAATGATCGTTTTATGTTAATATTTGAAATTTAACCGAATGAAATTATATAATGTGATAGTGAGTGTAATTCATGGGTAAGCGAAGCTCATGTGTAAGCAATTCAATTTAACCTTAACCTAAGCAATAATTTTAAATTGCACGTAGGTAATCCTTCACACCGTATTGGTGCCTTTGTCATTCATATCTGACAAAATGTTGGCAATCCTATGTACGGAAAACACAATGTAGATATTAAGGACATAATATAAATATATAATATTATGCTATGGTAGTAAACAATTTTGTATTGCTTTTAGGTGAAATTATCTTCATATTCTTCTCTTTTTTAATTATTTGTTTCTTGACTTTCTAGTTCTTTTATCTCAATTCTTATACGAATTTTGAATGAAAAAAATTCTTGCGGGACCGCTATTATGTAGATATATCTAATACGAATGTAAGTGCTATTTTATATAATTTTTCATATGAAATTGATTTTTTAAACATAAAAACCAAAAATTTTTGCATGGCCAGAAATAGAAAATGTTTGAATTGTACCATGAACAAATATTTTACTTGATATATCGTAGAAAGGCGAAAGTGTGTCAAGCCTCTGTCGATTGTTGTTGCAACACCAATAACTCCCACCAAAACTACGAGCTAATTGTGAAATTTTTTATTACATTAAAAGTATTCTTTCATGCACAATGCCATTAACATTGGTGTCCATTTATTTCTCAATTGTCTGTGCCTTATTTTTTTAAACATCTAAATCACAAACGACAGCACAACATCTAGATTCGTATCAAGTGAAACTAAAGCTGTGCCTTATAAATTTCACAATGCGAAGCGTCGTTCACGAAATGGCTGTAGGCTTTGTTCGCTTTGCTTCGTGAATGTCATATAAATCACTTTTTGCATGGTGACCTCGCTAACAAGTAACTTGCGATACAAATTATAGGCTGTCGGATGGCTTATAATAAAATCGTTACCTGTCTTGAGAGACTGTCCTCATCTCCTTGAGAACTGCGGCTTGTATACGAACCGCCGATACATCTGGAAATAAACACTACAATGGCAAAATCTCAATTTATTATGATGGATATTTATTTTATAGATTTGTATAACGATGGATCCTTTATTTACGCGGTCCGAGATGAACCGTGGTTCATTCTTGGTACGTGAGGCACGCGGGGGGCACTCATTAATTAAAGTTTTTTATCACACATGCTATATTACCAAAATTTTCTTACTTTTCTAGCTTATGTACCCTAATACCAACTTAGCAATGATCTTTTTGACTTCATTAACTTTTTTTTATGTATAGTAATATCAAGTTCACAAACCTGACTAAGTGGGCGAGTATCGCTTTGACCCATCGAATTTTCCCACTGTTGAGTAGCTCCATTAACTGTTTCGGGTGGTACTGCGGTAGGACGGGGCACGCCATTTGTGAAGCTTCAAACAGCCCGTAGTCTGGCATGTAGTTCAGCAGAGGCTGCGGATGAAGGAAAATTAATTATATTTCAGTATTATTTCATTTCGCAGTTGCTATTGCAAGCTTTGGCCTGGGGCATGGGTAGGATGTGTGGATCCACGAATTAATGTTCTGGATTTGGGTGTTTATTCTCAAAGAGGGTCTTTTATTAATTTACCTGCGGCTGATCCGATTGTGCTTTGTTTCGCCTTCGCGCGTCCCGTTCCAACAGTTGGAGGTTGATGGAGGAAACTCTTTGGAGGTGCGGTGCAGATATTCGAAGGTCCGAGTCGCGAAGAGCACGCGACTCCCCGCCTTCCTCCACGTCCTAAAAGAAAAAAAGACAACGATTTTTTTTTTTAGTATTAAGGACGCACCTATAGTATTTAAGTAAATGTACGCACCAAAACTAAGCTAACTTTAATCTGAACATATAAAGTGTAAGAAGAAAACAATATTAACTTAAATTTTAAAGAACAAATTAGATAAATAATAAATCATATTTTTTTGTACACATTTTTGCACATTATCAAGTTCCAGACTAAGCAAAACTTGTAGGTACTTTGTGTAACTGATAACCATACTTAAACCTTAAATTTCGAAATAGATATATACTATACATAGAAGTTCTATTAAACGTAAATTGGCGAGTACGTAAAACCTACTTAAAGAAGCGTAGAGTGGCACGAGGGGCGACGTCCCGTGCCTGTAAAAATCTCATTCTACGTTCCCACTTCAACCAAGACAATCAATTTACTTCAGTTATTGAAGTATATGCTGGTAAGAATTGATCGCTCCCAGGCTCTTTGGAGCGGACTTTTTTACTTTTTTTTGTCCCGCTGAGTTTCTTTCGCTGGTTCTGCTCAGGTTAGTGGCTTTTCGAATCTTGTAATATTTAATAAAATGCAAATATCTTTATATTGAATAAAGATATTTGAATTTATTAAATTTAATACATATTTAATAATTTTTTAACAATAAAATCTTTTTATAAGCCCTGCGGCTGCATCAGACGTAACTTATTTATAAACACAGAAACTAAAAGAACATTACGTTCACGGCGCCAACAAGACCTTCGTAGGACATAGACAAACATTATTCTGATAAACAAAAAAAAACAACATTTCGGCGGCAGTACCTGAGCCTGGCCGGCGAGGGCGCCCTGGTTCTCGGGCTTCCACTGCGAGTAGACGTGCATCTCCGAGTCCATGCCCACCACGAGGATGCCGTCGCGCACCCACGAGATCTGCATGGGCAGCGGCGGTAGCCCGTCGGCCGTCTTCAGCTCGATGCGCCGCAGCTGCATCCACCTGATCTCCTCCACGAAGAGCGGCGCCGCGAGCGAGGACGCCTTGCGCAGTATCGGCCGGTTGTTGTTTATCGACTCCTTCATCGCCTGTGGGCGCGACAGTGGTTATGAGATCGTACGTGGAGGTTCGAAAGGGGCGGGGGGGGGAGGGGATTCAGCATCACGAAACGTCACAGATTTCGGTGCGATATCAGGCTTATTTATTTTTTTACTTGGACGCGCGAATTCTAAACCAAAAGAATCTAAAATTTTTAACATACTTCGTGATAAACATGCACGTGATTTTGGATAGGAGAGGTTAGTCTTAATCCTGACTAAGGGTCACTAGGGAAGGGAGGGGAGCGCGCGGTATTTGAAAATTGGCTAAAAAAATATCACGTGTTTAATGAATTATCTTTATTTTTAAAGGCAAATGTTGAAAATGGTTTTATAACGCATCAATCATTGCTTTCGACTACCTAGTGTTTTCATTAATTCTAAACCATAAAATTGAGTGTTCTTTATGCAAACTATGGCTATTATAGGACGGAATATCTGCGATAGTGCACCTTCGGTCCACCACCTTAATATTTTATCTTCATAATTTTTGCTGTTTTATTTTTCTTACCTTTTTTGTGTACATGTAATTTTTACAAATAAATTTAGACAAAGTAACGATATATTTTTATGGTAAACGGTTGCAAACGCTATAAAACAGTCCAGACAATAATTTATTTATCTCTAAGGATTTGCCATTTTTAATAGCAGTTAAACGTTCATTAATATGTTTACGCGAATTTGGGTATGTGGTGAGGTGTGGCAACCGTGGTCCATTTCATAAAAAAACATGGTGTATCAAAGAAACACGGGCGGCGGTTACGTACCACCACGTTAACCGCCAACACGCATGCCATCTTTCAAAAAAAGTAATTTACGTGAGCCACAAACCTTCAAGTTGGCCTGGGCGAGGTCGCTGGAGACGGGCGTGAAGAGCAAGACCCTCGACCCGACGGCGACGGTCAATATGTGCGAGCCGTCCTCCTTGGAGACCCAGTCCAGCTGCACCAGGTGCTTCTGGGTGAGCGGGCACGTGTTCCCGTTCTCCATGATGCTCTTGCGCAGCGACTGCAGCGTGCTGAACGACGGCACCGCCAGCAGCCCCGCCGACTTGCCCGTGTCGCCTTCGCCGTTACGATTGTTCCTACTCTCGTCCGACGATAGGGTCTGCAGAACCTGTACGCAATTTAGTTATTGTCTTTTGTAACGCATATCGTATACATCGTATATACCCTCTGTATAGAGGAGGCCTTTGCCCAGCAGTGGGACATGTATAGGCTGTTACTTTTTTACTTTATATCGTTTCAGATTATTATCTTATCTTTCTTTAAAACTTTTAACTTTGCATCTTACTAGAGAATGAGAAAATTGTTTGAGTGAGAGTTTGATTACTTAACACTTTAGGCGTTTGATTTTAATTTTGTAAATTAAATTTGATCCGACGTATGAAAAATAAGTTAATTAACAGTCTATACAAGTCCCCGGCTGGGCAAAAGCCTCTTCTGTACATAGGGTATTAGGGTATAGTCACACACTTCATATGATATGTTCGAAACTTTTTTGTTATTATTTCAAAAATATGCAGGTTTCGCACTTAAAATTAACAATTAATTTATGTTGCTACCAAGATTTAAACTCAGGGTGCTAGATTATATTGAATTAAAAACGAGCGCCCGGACACAGAGCGAACACGGGCGTTTAATAAAACATAAAAGTCGAGTTCATCGGTCGCTTAGCTTACTTGACAAAGCGTCTGGTCGCGAAACCAGAGTGTTCGATACACAGGTTCGAATCCCGCAGCGCCGAAAGTTTTTGTTCGTTTATCTAAAAAAAAAAAAGCATGAACTATATATAGGTACATTGAGTCCGACGGTACCTGGGTGAGCCGCTGCTTCTTCTGCATGAAGGACGTGTCGTGCAGATACGAGAGGTCGATCTGCGTGTCCGCGCCGACGCCCACCCTCGGCAGGCTGACGTTGCGCAGCGGGATCGTGTCCTCGAGCAGCCACTCGGCGCCGCCGGTGCTCTCGCACTCGTACACGCACACGCACAGGTTCACGAAGCGCGCGTCCGCCCCCGCACCGGCGCCCGCGCCCTTCGGCCGGGTGAACGAGCGGCCGCACTTGTACGCGCACGCGATGCGCCCGGAGTACGCGGCGCTGATGTGCAGCGGCTGCCCTGATGCGGGAAAGGGACCGAGCTATAGCGACGCTGCTGTTTACACGAATACACTGCCGCACCGAGACTGATCAAATTACTCCGATCGGAGCTGCTTCTCTCTATCTCTTTCCGCACCATACGTTCTATCTATATCATCTGTCACATTCACTTGCATATATCATTCAATATTTCTAAACGCCACGCAGTATGGACATGCATCATATTTATAATAAGACATCATTGTTTAACTACATACATTCAAACTGCCGTCATCATTATAAAACGACATTCGAAATTGTTTGTATGTTAAGTAACAAAAGATGCGTCAGGCATCGCGAAAATACAATGCGGATAAATGACGTTGAGATTTTCGTCGGTGTGACTATAAGCATTTACCTTAATGGTTAAAACGTTTGGACGCGGGTCCGGAAAACGTGGGTTCGATTCCCGCAGCGGCAAAAACATCTCGTCCCTTTTTCTACAAATTTTTATTTTTTCTAAATTTTTCAATGTTCTTTTATGATTAGTACCTTTCAATACTATTTATAAAAATAATAATAACTATCATATAATGTAAAATTATATCTTACATCATAATAACAGCATCGTGTTGTCACGGTACAGAGAAAGGTCTGCTAAATGTTACTCAAAGAAAGGAGCTAAAAAAAACATACCTGGAATGTCTATGGCCGATTCTTGATCCTTGTTCATCATTTCCCACTCCATCCAAGAATATTCCATTTCGTCATTCTCGTTCTTGGTAACATTGCACTTCCAAAATCTGTTCCAAAAATTTTAGTAACGAGAAATAAAATTAATTACTAGAAAAAAAAAATTTTTTTACATCATTCGACTTTATAACCATACATACCTCAAAGTGCTGTCCGAGCAGGCAGTCGCTAATATGTAGGGAGCCAAACAGGCCGGGTATATGGAGGCGGAGCTCAGATGACCCGCAGCCGGCGTCGCGTGTATGACGTCTACGCCATCCGGCAGTGATAGCGGGCACTCGCACACCTACAAATAATTACATACAAATATAATCCGACTAAGTCTGAAAGACTCAAATGTATCTCAATGAATTAAAGGAAACGTGTGTACTTCCGTACGCACGTAAGAAGTTATACTATAATAACGTATCAAAGGAAAATAACTGAAAATTATATCTCGTTTGAGATTACTTTGTTTATGAAATAAACATTAAATTCCTTCACGTCTGAGCATATGATAAGTCAGCACTTAAAAATAGGTATCAATTTCGAACTCGGGTTGCTCGAGTATATTAAATTAAAGCCGCGAGTCCGGACACCTAACTATCACGGCACATTAATGTGATCCGAAATAAATATAGTTGTTCATTTCATCCATTCTTCCCACAAAACTATTGATTTAACTCAAGCAATTTGTGATGCCGTTAGTTGGCTATTGAATAATTACAAATAAGATTTATGTAAGCGAATAATGTTGCTTGCACCTTCTTAGTGGATATTGATAGATGCGAGTGGACTGGTGCTTGAGGTAGAGCTCGATCCGCGTCGACGGACACCGAATTTTTGCGGGATTCCCCTTCCTCCTCCTGTACTAACGCGCTGTCGGGCACGTACATCATGCTGTTTGTCATATCATCTGCAATTTGATGTGATAATTGAAGAAACAGAATAGAAACTGATGCTAGGTTTCAGTCTTTACTTCTTTTGTTTTCCTCTAAATTGGTTTACATATTGGAAATAGATTTCTCATTATCATCAGACATTCATCATAAGACGGAGATTTGGAGCTATTCAATATTGGATATAATAGTAATCGACATAAGCATGATTTACCAATGTCCATATCATGATTTTTATTGTGTTATTCTAGATTTTAGAATCTTGAATCTAAAAAATCTAGAGGACAAAAGAAAATTCACATTAATTACCGGCAGGATCCGCTTGAGAGGAGACCATCAGCCTCCACATGTGCACCGTGGACCCGCCATCTGTACGCTCGAGCACAACAATGTAGAAAGGCTCGTTGAACACCGCAGCTTTCCTTAAATCGACTATTGCTTCGAACCCTGCTTCGGTGATCGTGTTCACGTCCGACCCTTCGACACCAGAATCGGCGTATTCCGTGTCCGTTGTCGTCCTTTCGCCTGTTGGTGAAGCAGGAGAAATTTAAATTTAAACTAAAAAATTCGTTAAATGAAAAAAAAACCATAAAAATATGTTTTTCTTTAACAAACTAACTCTACAGAATCGTGGTCCGTGCTCTTTTTTGATTAACATGTTTTTTTTTTAATTCTCTTTTTGTGCTGTCACTGCCGCGTGCATCAACCGGGCTATCAACCGCGTTCATCAACCGGGATAAAATTATGTTTCATAATCAAATTAATAGCAAGCGTACAAACTATCTCAACTTGGGCGCACATCGAAATTGGCCATAATTGTATTTCATCTTTGTTTAATTGAAATTATTTTCATCCAATTAAAGACGAGCTAGATTGTGCGTAGAATTAGAGAGTGTAGTGATTGATCGGGAGGATTGACAAAAACAGTGGAGTTTGGAGTGGGGGAAATTTACGGGAGACACGCTGGAGAAGTTGAAGAAGGGTGGAGGAGAGGTATATAAGCTAAGTGGGTGAGGAGAATATGAGGGGAGTGGAGAGATTGATGGAGAATGCGGGAAGAGTAGGGAAAGGTAGATTTGGGGGGATAGATAAGAAGGAATAACAGGGAGAGGAAGACGGGGGCAGGGTGTATTAGAAAGTAGCAAAAGTAGGTAGTAGAAGATTGGGGTGGGGTGGATAAGAAGGCACGATTACTAAGGGGAGGAAGGTAGTGAGGGGGGGAGATGGAGGTTTGTGGTGCGGTTGCCACCGACCGGTGATGAGCTGCTCCTGGAAGACGTGCAGCAGCTGCGTGTTGTGCCAGTCGTGGGCGGCGTCTGCGATGGCGTGCAGCTGGATGACGGCGCCCGGCCGCGCGGTCGACTGCTGCGACACGATGCGGATGCGCTCGTGCAGCGGCACGCCGCCCTCGCCCCCGCCGGCCCCCTCCGCGCTCGACTCCGACGACATCGACAGCGTGTCGTGCTGCTGCTGCGGCGCACGCGACAGATGCAACAAAGGCCACGTTTGCCCGAGGGCGAGCGGCGACATTTTTTATTTAGTCAAGGCACACTGCCCAAGAGAATGGCGGCCAGGTGGGCTGTTTATCCCTGCAGCCGAATGACGCTCCGAATATAGTTTAACCTAAGCCCTCTTTTTCAGTCTACGCGGGAGAAACATTTATATATACTCTTGGGGACCGATCAATACCCTAACATATCGACTAAGCCACAGGAACCATTTGGGACACATTTGCAGCTCTACCGACGCTGACCACCTTAGAAGCTCAACCCCCGACACTCCACCTCGGTTACAGAAGACACGGAGAGTACCTCTTGACCTACAACTCTCAAACCCCCCCGAACGAGTCCAAATAGCCCAGTAGGAGCGGCCCTCTCAACCCGGCCTTACGCCTACTAAATCATCTACTAAACCTCCACCACGACTAGGGGGTAAGCATGACCTATGAAGGAGTTTTAGCCAGCCACAATAAGTTCGGTGACGGTCAATCTGTATTTGCCCCCTAGAGGGTACCAGTGATATTGGTAACACAAAGAAATATTTTGAAGGTTCGGTGACGATTAGTTCTCTAGAGGTAAACCAGTGATGTCGGTAACACAAAGTAGTTGTCTTCTAGTTGTCACACAGAGCGAGCGCTAAGGGATGCATCTCCTGTCCCAGAACAAGAAAGGCTCAGTGCAAAAGGACGCCGCGGTAATCTGTATGAAATACCAGAACCTGCCCAGACGTCACACTGAAAATTACCACTAAAACTCTTGCTCACTTAACCCCCCTCTAGATATAGGACATATAACATGTACTAGTCCATCTTAAAAGAATAATTCACAATAGTAAATTTATAAATTTCCAATAGGAAACGCCATTAAACATTCAGAATTAATGGAAGCATTCGGCGAGGTCCAAAAGAACATCATATTAGATGCATTAATTACCATTGTATCCTTATGGCGGCGCTCCGAAGTCGCTATTTCGGCGAGTAAAGTGCGGGCATCTATTACTGCTTGGAAGAGCCTCAGACTTTCACCGTCGCTAGCTACGAAGCACGCGGATGGCGAATTCGACAAGTTTCCTAAAGTGGAACTGAAAAAAAAGAAAAAAGGGCATTATGTTATGCAGTGCAGTTACTTCAAAATATAATTTAAAGATTATATCAGATATAGCATACACGTCCATTAAATCATTATAAGTAGACATCGACAAATTAAAATTAAGATACGAATATCGGATAATCTTAAGATGTTGAATTATAAATGATAATTAATGATCATAAAATTAATGTGTATAAGAAAGATATTTGAAAGGAACAGGAATATTCTTGAATGCCCGATCTAATCCCGAGTTTGTTAAAGTGATTCATAATAAATTTACCTACATACATACACACACTAACACAAACGCGCAGTGTGCTAGTTAATTTTAAGTTGTAAGTTTTAATTTATATTTATAAATGTTTATTTTCACTCACTGGATAAGCATAAGCACTGAAATAAAATTAAAATGTACAACCATCATTTGTAATACTGTACGGTATATTGTGGTGAAATACTATAAAATACTACATGGTGTGGGAAATAAATAATTGTCATTGTTATTATTAATGAATATTGGAGTTTTATGGGATGATCTTTTAAGAGTTTCTTTACAAGTAGTATTCGGTTATAAAATTTCGGGTTAATAAAGTTCAACTATTGTGGCAAGCACTAAACTGGTTTCCGCGATGAAGATTATGTCATTAATTCATGTCATTTATTCAGGGTTTCATATTCGCGTTGTGCTCAATACTAGTTGGACTCTGTGAGAAAAACCTACTATCTACTTTTATATCGTTAATACAATTGGGGGTACATTATGTAGTTGTTCCCGTGGACAGGGCCGGATTTAGGGGAGGGCAACCGGGGCAAAAGCCGCGGAGCCTCCACAGACGAGGGGCCCCTACAATAGAGACTTAGGAAAAAAATCAAATTCTAAACATTAGTAAACAATAGCAAACAACTTTTCCTTTCATCTAACAGAAATCAATAGACAATAATAAAAGGCCCTGCCCGTGGATGGGGAAACATCGTGTAAAAATCGGCGCCCACCTGGGCAGCAGCGTGGGCAGCCAGGCGACGTTGCTGAAGGCGGAGAGGTGGGGCGAGTTGACGCGCGCCAGCTCGGCCACGCCGCCCGACTTGGCGAGCGGGCCGACGCACTCCACGCGCCACATGATCAGCTCCGAGCAGAGCCCGCCCGCCGCCGCCTCCTCGGGGGGCTGCACGCCGCGCTCCGCGTCTGCCAGAGTATCCCATCATCAGAGATGACTCCGTGGCGCAGTCGATGGTTGGTTTCGCCGCGGCACGCGAGTTCGACTCCCGCACGAGGCAAATATTTTTACACATAACTGTTTCAGATCCGGGTGTTTGTCCATGTGAAATTTGGTGACATGTGTTATTTTCTGACGATTTGCCGGCGTGGGGATCGCAGCGAACTATCCTAAGACCGTTGGACCGTTGGACCGTTGGACGTATTGTGGGGATGGGGCTATCTAAGACATACCCGAAAGGAGATATTCGCTGGCGACCACCGTGGGGTTTTAATCGGTGCCAATCTGACATAACCTGAGTTTCCTTCATAAGAAGTTCAGGTATTCATAACAGATTTCGCCATGAAAAAAAAAAGGATGAGGTTATACTACAGTAAGGGGAAATGTTTTCGAAGGGAAGATTACCTATCTTCTAGGTCGCAGTGGTCGTTGGGACTTGCTACATCGTAAACCTAACCGAGTAACAATCACAGAACAAATTCTAAAATCGTCTAAATACGCAACTGATTTGAGTCCCACTTGTAAAACATAATTTTTATATTCATACCCTCAATGGAAGTGATAAAAGTCGGCAAAATGTAAAAGTAAATACCAGATATGTTATGATGACTTGTAGTTAGCAATAGTGGTAATACTGGATGGCATGTGATGTCGTTGACTCTAAATCGGTGTCCGGATGCCCTTGACGCATGGCCAATTGACAGCACCTGTGGAATAATTATAGTTATTCCTTATCACGTATTAATTATATAACAAGACGTTCCTGGTATATATTTCGTGTTGACAAAATGAAAACATGAAATGTAAATTCATTAGTTTTCAATTCAAGTGTTTATTGTGTCAACAAAACGTAACGAACCATGCCACAACACTATCGATTTCGCTTTTCTTATTTTTTCCATATTAAAATATAGCAAAGTCAATTACATGAAGAGCTAATTTATTTGGTTGGTTGTTGTATATTTTTTCTAACATTTATTTTAATGTATTATGGTAAAAGTTGAACATACTCCTCATAGGTTCACCTACGACGTACATATTCCATTTGGAATGTAAAAGAATTGAAACCATTTTTTCAATACCTCACACAACACCAATTTATAAACGAAACACATAATTACAGTAAAGAGTTAGCGAATACAAAATTAATAAAAAAAAAAAAACAAAAGGAAAAAATACACATAATATTCGTATAAATAGCTCACTTTTAACACGTCCGCACACACCACACCAATGTGTTTTAAATAAATCAGTCACTGTCAGTCAAGTCTATCCGATACGTGCCTGTGAAAATTTCGATTTGTCGTCGAACGTCAGCTGCCAGAGGTTGAGCGTGCCGTTCGTGTGGTTGGTCACCATCGAGATGACGGGCGCCGACTCCAACACGTCGCCGTCCTGATTCTCCGCCAGCTCGTCCGTCGCCACGCTCGCCCTCCGCTGCATCTCGTTGTTGTTCTCTTCTCGGTGGCCTGTTCGGAAGTGACCGTTACGGCGAAACACGGCGCGGTTGCAGGACGGGGTCACGGGTTCGGTTCCCGCGCGGGACAACTATGTGTTTGACCCGCAGAAATCGTTTCGGATCTGGGTGTTTTTCCACGTGAAATTCATTTATGTAAAACATCCTTACAACAGGATAATGTTATCCAAAAGAGGAACATTTAAAAAAAAAAAACAAACAAACAAATAAATGAAAGAAATCATGATCGGTACGTTTACCTTTAAAAATAATTGCTCTTACTTCAATATAACATTAACATAAACTCCACGTCGACGAACACCCAGATGCGAAACATTATCTGTGGGTCGTACAAATACTTTTTCCGTTTGGGAATCGAGCCCATGACCTTGGATTCGGAAGACAATAGCCTAGAAACTGCGCCACCGAGTCATCATTATGATTTCCCTCGATGATGATAATTACCATTCTCTTGGGTGTTTTTATGCTCAGCGGGCTGGGGCCACTCGTTCTCGTCTTTCTCCTCCTGCACGCTGGCTAACGGAGTCGTCACGGGCTCGGGTTGTTGTGGACCTGATGAAGCATTATTAGTAAACAGTAAAGATGATTGTAGATCTAGATCTCCACTAACAATAGAGGGATGAATAAGAAAAATAAGTAAAATATACATGGGATTTATAGACCCCCTTACCTATACATGTTTGTCATAAAAGGGGTCATATTTTTTTTACTTTTTTTCTATATCAAATCATTGCTTTATTTTTTTAATTTCCAAAATACGCGATTTACCACAAAAACTGAGCAAAGATCGGTCCTCCATGTACTATTCTTTATACGCCAGATGGTACGACCCTTTTAGTGATTCTCTAATGTCTAGGTTCTTGTTTACAAAAAAAATATCAGTTTTCTAACATCGCAAGCAATTGTACAGCTTCCCTTAGTAAATGTGTCCAAAGAATTTTTTTTGACATCCCGATTTGCGTAGTAGATAGTGAACCTGCCTAGCGCACCAGAGGGTGTAAGTTTGATCCCCACTACTGGAAGTCTCTGGGTGTGTATCTATGCATAATATGTATTTATTTACAAAAGAAAAGTATGTTTAAGTGTGTTCATCAGTTATCTAGTACCCATAGTACGAGCGTTGCTCAGTTCGGAACGAGAATGCTGTGTAAAGATGTGCCCTTAAATATTATTGTTATTTATTCCTCCCATCCGCAGTGGAGTGTGCCGCAATACCCTCTGTCCTTTGCGCAGCAGTGGGTCACGTATAGGCTGACAGTTTGTTTTACTCCACCAATTGTAAATGACTAAACCCGCGATAAGGTACGCGACGCACCGGGCGCTACGGGCTTGGTGCGGTGGCGCACGTGCAGCGGCTGCGCGGCGGCGTGGTAGAGCGCGGCCGGCGTGCACATGGTGGTGGCGTCGCCCAGCGGGAACGCGCTCGGGATGCGCGCCGAGAACGACACCTGCGCCTGCCGGATGGCGCCCGCCTGCACCTCGTCCAGCCACTCGCACACCCTGCACAAGCACTGCTCGCTCGGACCGGAGGTGCTCCTTCTTTGCACGCCAATTGCACAATCTAATTTCATCCTCCCCATTCCATTTTATTGTCGATTACAAGCCCTCGAACGAAGAGGTCCGCCGCTTCGTTAACTACAAAGCGGCAAAGCCGATTTTGATGCAATTTTCAGGCTGCTATGTGTGGCAGGGATCGGATCAACAGAGCAATCAAATCGGCACTAGTAGCAAATAAAAACGCTCGATTATCATACATTAAAAATAAAAAAAATATTATTCAACGAGAAGTTTCTTCAAAAGCACAATAATATCAGTCTATAACGTTGAAATATTTTTTTGTATCAACTGCCTGCTACTTATTCCCTTGTTGGTGATAAAGGCTCGTAAAGTGTGATACACACTGGTTTCGATGTTGCGGATGTCGTTACCATATGAGGAAACTGCCGTCGACGGGGTGGATGGAGAAGAGGAGGTCTGGGCTCTGGTGCCAGTCGCGGAGCAGCGCCTCGATCTTGGCGTCCAGCGAGTCCGGCAGGTGGGTGCAGGTCACGTCCGTCGCGATCGAGTTTATGGACGTGGTGTTCGAGAGGCTCGGGTGGCTGTGGTTGCCGTTGCCTGCGAGGTGGACAAACATACACAACTTGAGTAACCTATAACGCGTGTGACGGTTTAGCAACACGTATATATTGTATCCTTGTTGAATTGTGATATTCAAATGGTTAGGACGAATTTTCAAACGTTTACGCGTCGCTCAAATCAAATTTAACATTTTAAAGATGCTGGAAACTTCAAACAGACTAAACAGTAATCACTGGATTCACTAAGCGTTTAAGTTATATTGCTAAAATAATCCTCATTCTGTTTCCGCTTACGTTTTAAACTACAAAAGCCTAAATAAAAGCAGAATAAAACACAAATAACGAAGACAAAAACCGATCCGATAGATAAACTATTATTTACTGTAAAAAGATGTAAGAACATAATAATATCTGTGAATAATCATTCAATAAACTACTATAAATACGTATTAGAAGGTATTCGAGCTTAGAAGTCGCATGTCCCTTGAAACAAGACTATCGTAAGCTGTGATGTTACATTTAACCGTCAAACTGAAGCTAAGGAATTGAATGTACCATCGACATAAAACTCACCTGGATCCTCATCGCTATTGCTGCTGTCCTCCGACTGTACTTTAGTCAGATGATGACTGGGTCGCCTAGCTCCTAAATAGCAGCGTGAAATAAGCAACGAAGCGTTATAATACTGCACGCTTCGTATATCAATGGCAGACCTTCAGCTCAGTCTGTCTTAAGGCATGTAGCGAACAGCTAAGACGCATCATGATTATATAGACGGTATTATTTATCCGGATAATACGGTAAGGCGGCAACTTCAACTGATATATGGAATATAGAATTATTATCGGATATACATCGTACTTGATTCATTCTCTCCGTCCGGATGTGTGGTGTGATCCATACCAGAACCGCCCTCCTCGTTCTCTTCTTTATCTAATACCTGCAAAAAAATAGTAATTATATTACAATAATTGCATTTCTCTTATAGAAAAAATAATTACTTGATATAGATATAAATTATGACTTTATTTATAAATTTATCCTTAATTCTTTTCGTTCCCTCTGTGAGGCGGGGATTATCCCATCACGTGTGGGAAGTACACCAAAGCACCGAACAGATAACGCGATTGTGCATTTTTGGCCCTAGTGCCCAAAGCCACAACGCGCCTCACAACAGCAGTTGGCGTGTTGACCAATGAGATAACGCCGAGTCACGTGAACCAGAAACGAAATTCTAAGCCAGCCGACTATCGGGAAGAAGCAGGTCACCTTTTTGGTGAGGTCGTGCAGTATCGCCTCCGCTTGGCTGGTGAAGTGCATCTCCTTGTTGTGGAGCCAGTGGAGTATGAAGCGACCACCGGCCGCCAGCGACGGCACCAGGGGGATGTCCGTCTCGGCGTTTATCGACGCCGCCAAGTGGAAGTGGAGACCTGCCGGTCGACGGTTGGCCATTAGCCTATTTACACACGCACACAGGCTCGTACGTGCGCAGGTGTGTACGACCGCGTGCGCACATGTACAGGTCCTAAATATGAGGGATGATGAGTCTCGTCGTACATTAAAGAAAAGTATGAGACTGTGATTTTTGAACATAAATGTAAAAAAATATCTTTACAGATACAACGCAGGGTACTCGAGTTAAGGTCAGTGAAACTCTGTGTACAGCCTCTGGGATTGGTTTAAAGTTACTTTTATCAGTGCCCAAAACAAACTGTACTTTACATTAACAGTTTTAAATGTGATAGGGCCACATACTTAAATCACATTGCCAAAATACAGCAGAAAACATGAGTAATCACTGTTGATAAGCATAAGACACTCACCACCTGTGTAGGAACTTGCGTGGTAGGGATTATGGAAATCGTGGGCGCTGTACGTGGATGGCAACGTTGGAATGGGGGCACCGGGCTGCTTGGAGGATTGGGCGTTCCTTCGTATGTGAAAGCATGTTCTGGAATAAATTATTGAAAACATTACAGATTCCGTAGCAAAAACAAATTTCTAGCGTTTTTTAATTTTCTGGGATCATTGAGAAATAATAGTTTCGCGAGTACTAAATGCATATCATTAAGTATAAATAATTTCCGCTTTAAATTGTATTAACAAGCTACATTCAAAAGATAAATTAGCACACATGATATGGTATGAGTGTTCTATTGCATCTCAGATACAGTAGCAACACACTTATCACAGTTCACAATCGAAATATCTTTACCATACGTATACCTGTGTGCCTATGTGCGTGCGTGTACTTGCGTGTGTCTGTGTGTGATATGTGGACGTGCGTAATGAGCGCATGAAGCGGTTCATCGTACCCATACGTGTACTTGTGTACCTGGACGTGTATGTGTGTATGCGTAATGGGCGCTCACTCAAAGAGCTGCATGAGGCGGTCCATGTATTTATGTGTCTATGCGTGCGTACGTATATAATGGGCGCCCACTTCACGTGCTTTAAGCGCTGCATGAAGCGGCGCATCGTACCCATACCTGTATTTACTTGCATGTGTGCGTATGTGCGCGTGCGCAATGAGCGCTCACTTCACGTGCGCGATGCGGCGCGTATTAACCATACGTATATTTGTGTGACTGTGCGAATATGTGGGCGAGTTTAATGGGACCTCACTTCATGTGCTTGAGGCGCTGCATGAAGCGGTGCTTGTGGCGGTGCGTGGCGCGCTGGCGGCGCGGGGGCGAGCGCGCGTGCGCCGCCACGCAGCCGCCGCCCCACTCGTCCTCGGGCAGCAGCGTCTCCGCCCACACGCGGCAGATGTTGTCCACGCTCGACGTCACCAGCACGTTGCCCACGCTGCCCCTGGGCGGCGCACGAGGAAAAATTGCATTATCATTCTCTTTACGTTGTTTATTGAGGGAAATAAACATATCCTCTAGTTACGAGTATTTCATGCCAACGGCCAAAGGGTTCGAAAAAAGTATGCTCGTGGACATCTCGAACCGTCGCGTGTAGTGATTTTACCCAATGCAATAGGTTGAACAGAATTAAGATGAACATAGTAATCGATACAGACGAAAAAGAATATCCTCAACAGCATTCTGTTTCTGGCAAATTTAATAACGCGGTAGAATGGCAAGAGGTTAAAGATTTCAATCTTTATATGTATTAAATACTGGCAATTGAGGAGCAAATAAAAACATCTCTCCCTATTTTATCCCACTCACTTGGGCATATACTTGCTGGTCTTCCGCCATGACAAGTGGGTGACGGCGCGCGGATGTGCCACGTAGATAAACGTGTAGTTCAACTCGGGCGGCGAATGCTCTCCGTGCGCTTGCACCAGGACTAAAACAACAAGCGCAGTGACAAAGTTTAAAATTTGAATACAAACAGATTTTTTTTATGAATTTTTGTGATGACGGTTAGGGCTCGGGATAATGTTATATGGGATAATGTTATTCTACAGTAAGTAGGCAATGTTTTCGAATGGGAAAAATACAATAGATCTACTAGGTCACAGTGGCCGTTACTACCTAACCCCTTCTCTTCTATATTAATTAATTCTAAAAACTTATCAGTTTGTGTGTCAATAAATAATATCAAAGAAACGAACGGACTTCATAATGAAATATAATTGATACCAAGATTACAACATTGTTCATGGTAACATAAAATAATTCTAATGTTTTATCTGCGACAGGGCCACGCAGCACCTTCAGCTGATTAGGTTAGCTCGTCCGGGAATGTACCACGACCGCCCAGACAGCCGGCGTGAAGTGGAAGTATTATATTATCATGTTTTGTCTGGTGAGAGAGGTAAAGCCCACTTTGTAGAGTTCCGAATCCCTTTGGGTTTTTTTATACTTAAAAAACCTCAAATAAAAACAGTCGAACTAAATAGTTTACGAGCTAAAAATATTTTGAAAAATGTGCTAACAGCAGCAGTGGCGGATTTTCCCTAACGCCCTAAAAGGCTCGGGCCTAGGGCGTCCACATATCAAGGGCGGGCAATCGTGTCAAAAAATTCACTGATATATGATGGGCTTTGAGAAGGTGGCGGCTGGACCTTACTACATAAAGACTACAAATCCGCCACTGAGCAGCTGTGGTCAGTCACAATGAGCTAAAGAAATTTTAGACTAAACATTTACCTTTGTTCTGATGCCAGATTTTAACCAGCCTGTCGTTCATGCCGGACGTAGCGAAGAGTACGCCATCTGGCGAGAAGGCTAGATGATGCGCGGGCGTCGCTGTGTGACACTGCCACACACATATCCAACCCTATGTGAAAATCAAAGACATTGTAAACAACATGCAAATATGTTGCAATTAAAAAGTATCACAAGCCATACCCGTGGTAGGGCCACGCAACAGTATTCACTGTAGCACGAATAGGCAGGTCCGTCCGGGTAAGTACCACGGACCTCACAGAAGACTGGCGTGAAGTGTAAGTGTTATGCTTCTGCGTTTCTTCTTATAAGTGAGGTAGCCGGGGCCCACGTTATAAAAAGGTGGCATAGCAACGCATCCGTAAACCTTTTTTTTTGTTTACGTGGTAGAAATGCCTACGGATACCAGCCCTCGCGGGAGCAAGAGCGGGTTATGTCGGACTCGCATCGACTAAAACCCCCACGATGTTCCTACTAGGCGCATATCGGCAGGGTCACGGAAACGCTTTGCACACTTCCGCGACCCTACCAGCACTGGCCGCCTAAACAGGAAACATTTAACGATGGTAGGGCCACGCAGCAGCCTCGGCCGTTGCACGAATGGGCAGGCCCGTCCGGGTAAGTACCACGACAACACCGAAGACCAGCGTAAAGTGGAAATATGACAAAAACTTTCGCGTTTCGTCTGGTGAGTGAGGTAGCCAGAGCCCAATTTTCAAAAGGTTGTCAACGCATCTGTAACCCTCGGGTGTGCAAATGTCCATGGGCGGCGGTATTCACTTAACATCAGGTGAACCATCTGCTCGTTTGACAACTTTTAGCATAAAAAAAAAACACAGCCCCCTCCCGGGGAGCACTCCCCTGTTCTCCAGGTAAGGCCTTCCTACACGGCCCCATTTTCATGGCCTACGAACTCCCCCGAGTTCGCTGACCGGGGCCATGGGGGCCAGGAGAGCCTGTGCCAATAAGCAGAAAGCCTCCCAGCCCCCAGCGGCAGATTTGGAGAACGGCGCACCGCAATACCGGCACTCCTCTCCCCCCGCGGCCCCACCACCACTTCATCAGCGGTGCAGCCCAGCCGAGTCGCGGAGGATAGGGAGAGCGACCAAACGCAATACCGACACTCCTTTTCCCCCGCGACTCCTCCTCGGTAGCATGAGACAGGAAAAAGGAGTGGCTTCTCCTCCACCACCCTCAACCTGTCCCCTGCACCCTCATGCACGCATCCAGAGTGGGCTCATTGAGCCTACTCGGAGCGGCCCTCTCGTACCGGCCTTACACCACAGGCCGGCCCAGTGTGGGTTCCTCTTAGCTTCGCCGTGGGTGACCAAGCCACGGCTACTAAGCCCTTCCGCCACATCAAGGCGGGGACGCATCCGTAAACCTAAGTGTGTTAAAAATGTCAGTGAGCGGCGATTATCACGTAACATCAGGTGAACCGCCAACTTTCTTGCCGTCTTACATAAAAAAAGAAACCCTAAAGATATAAATATTTAGCGTCAGTTCTCCGTATAGTTAAGAGCTGTCGATGTACCATTTATAATGTAAGTTGTTTTTGCTCTACCGCAGAAAAATATTAATCTAAAATTTATAACACATGATTGCTACTACGACGCTAAACAGTATAACCTTTTCACAGTGTTATACAAGGCTTTTTTGCATGCTTGATGGCATGTCTGACATCATAACAAACCATGCTAGACGAAAATACATTTCTAGTTATCTTAATAAATAAAAATGAATGTTGGAAGCGCATAACTCAAGAATGGCTGGTCCAATTAGGCTAATTTATTTTTTTGTATGTTCCTTCAGGTTTTAATACTATTATTCAATGTTATTTCACTCCCAATAATATCTGCGATACAACATAAAATGCAAGGGCTGTAAGAAAAGATCAATGTTACTAAACATTTGTTGTACTAACATATAAGCAGCGATATCAAAGACATCGTCTCGCTCCTGTAAACAGCTGTTGCTATCTTATCTGTGTTATAAATTCCACGCCTTACACTCACCGGTTCCTCGTCCTCTGGCTGTTTTGGTTTATCTTCCTTGTCACCGCCAATTTGGAACGTGACGCCCGAACTCGCTGCAAGTGAATTGATAAAGTGAACATTTTCTCGCCGTGAATTAATTGATAAACAATTTTTTGTCAAGTCTGATATATTCTATATCTGTTATTCTTATAATAGAAGCAAGATGATAATCTTCGAACTCAAGTAACTTAATACCTAAATGCAACCGCATTTGAATATCGAATATCCCAGTTATGAGTATAAAACGTATTAAGGACATTAAAACATAAATAAGTATATATATTTTTTTTTTGAATATGAGACTTACTTAGGCGGAGTAGCTAAAGGTGGTGCGGGTTCGACACGATAATAATTGTTCCGATTCTGGGAGTGGGGTTTATCAATTTAATTTGTGTTTGCTATACGCCTCTACAATACGTGTATATTTTATTCTACTGTATTAAAAAAATGCCCTAAATCTTTTCTCTATAATCAAAAAACGGAACCGAAGATAAGAAGACTTTTAGATATAGATGAACTTTTATTATAAGAACTATATTTAAATTCAAAATAATTTGTATATTGGATAATACTGGAATCGGATAAACTAAGGTGATTTTGTTTTTAATGACATATTAATTATTAAAGTGATATTCTCTGCACTTAAGGTCGTGTATCATTGAGGACGAGGTCGAGCGAGGCAGCGAAAAAATTTTCGTCCATATTCCTACGAATTGAAAAAATAATATATCATTTTCGTTAACATGATCTACACTGCACTACTTATATATCTTAGTATTATGCTTCCTATGTCGCACGTACGCGACGAAAATTATCTCTCCCTTGACCATGGAGTCACACACATCGAGAGTTTGAAGTAAAGCTTAAACGCGATAAAAATTACCTTCGCCGTAACTATTGTATCAAGAGTATGTGATGTGGTATTGTAAGCGAATACAGACCTTGTTTTGTGGTGAATAAACGGGTCAGCATAAGGATGATAAAGCATTTCCGATATAGATCATAATACATCGTCGTTAGCTCTTATCCATAGAGGAGTCTCGCCCTTACTTTAACAAAATCAATAAAAGCAGGCAGAGTGCCAGTTTGTTCTGGAATTTCGCCCGTAAAAACTTGCCTCGTCGTTCAAGAAAGTTCAACATACCGAGACATATGGTCTGGGATACATTTTCTTCAAAATTATTGTTCAATTTTAACAATGACTGTAACAGCGTTATAGTGAATGGGAAACGGAATAAAGAGATTATATAACGAAAGCTATTAAAAAAAATTAGAATAAAAAGCCAACATTATAAGCCCCATTGCTGGGCAAAGGCCTCTATTTATAAAGCTCATAATCCGCCACGCCGTACGCGACCCTAATGCGAATTTTGAAAAAAAAAATATTAGGTAAGTTTTCCTTCACCACCGAGTGTAAGTAACAATTTCAATAGTGTCGATATTTAAACTCGGACTGATTAAGTACACTGAATTAAAAGTCGGCTACTGAGCCACAACAGCTCTACAATTACTTTTATTTTATTGTGTAATTAGAGAGTTAAGTGATTGTTTGAATGGCTATTATAAAACAAGAGTAATGGGATCGAAAGTTGAACTGATACGCAAGGAAGAATTGACCCGAGATAAAAAAAATTATATACTCTATGAGAGTTCGGAAATAAGAAGGAACGTATCAAGGCATAATACATCACTGTGGTATTGATAGACACGTGGGAATGGTTAATAAGAGTATTTAAGATTTTCAAAATATCAACACCATCTTGATGATTGGCAGTCCATCAACGCAATCAATGTGCGTTTCTGCGGAAAAGACCTCTTTGTGGGATCAGTTGTCGCTAACAGTATTTCGTAACCAATTTCGGGACCTTCGATAAGAGATCCTATTCCTACTTCAAAAGTCAGCATTATCTATTTACTCTGGTGTTGCTAATATCAAATGATGATACATATAAACAATAGTTGCCACTTACTAGATAGCAGTAATTATTACTACTTACTTTATAAGTATACACAAAATCACGATGTGTATACTTATCTCTCGGCTCCACTTATTGAAAAGACATTTTACTCAATTAATTTTTTACTAGAAAATGCGCTGATCTGAATAGATAAATGATAGGTATGAATAACTAAACACTTCATTTATTGCCTATCTTTGAGTGAAGGAAAGAAAAGGCATTAAAATGCGACATTCCTAAACTATAAAATATTTATCTTTATTTAAGTTTTACTATACATTGGACATTATAATAAAAAGATACAATGTGCAAATGAAGTGAATGAATCTTTCTAGATTCAATACAAAGTTAAAGCGGGTACGCGTACGAGAAGAATAGTACACTCTGTTATAGAAAACAATGGGATAAAATCTATTGTCAGATTATTAGCTTACGTTGACTGTCGTCTTGGTACAAGGACGCCTGATGCCATAGCTGAAGGACCTTCCCGCCGGTGAGCAGCCGAGTGCCCTCAAGGTTCCAAGATAGCGCGGTGATAGGGCCATCCGCCACCAGCTTCCCCGTCTGGACCCATCGATACTCCAGACCCTAGAATTAATGCAGCGTTGCTAATGATTTATAATCAAAGAGTAACGTTTTTCAATGTCAAACCGTCTCACTATCACTATAACCGACAACTGGAGCAACATTACGTGGTTGTGGATTCAAGCATCACTTCTGACAATATTAGAAGTAGTATTTATTTACAAGTAAGAAATGATACTATATACAAATAAGAGGTAGATACGACACTAGCGCACCGAAATGAGGCACTCAAACTACGCCAAATGGTGTAATCAGATAGCAATCGTATAGACTGTTATCTCTTTCCGTATCATATGTTCTATATAATCTGTCACATTCACTTATATATGTCTTATCTTATCTCTTATCCTTTAAACGAGCAATTCTTGTATATATATATATATATATAAAATCGATCTAGCTAGGTTTCATTTTTAGAAAATGTCCTTTTATCCCTGTTTTCAGGGAATGAAAAATATAATTCGAATATGACGGTAAATTTCGCCGCAAGAGAAAATGTCAAAATAGCTCGGTCGGTAATCGGGCGGCCCCAAAACAGACGACCGTGGTTCGCGTCACGATCATTTACACATTTATTTTTTTACTTTTTTTTCGATTCCAGATCATTGTTTTCTTTATTTTTAATTTTTTGTTGATTTGTTATTTTGTTATTTTTTTCCCTTTTTTTTAAAGTTCTTTCTTTTGTGAAAAACATCAGTTCATATTTTCTTATTATTACGTCGGTAAGATCGAAAAATATTATGCATATTTCATTACTCAATAATTTGTATCTAAATGTAATTTCCAAAATACACGATTTACCAAAAAAAAAAAAAACAAACCGAGCAAAGCTCGGTCTTCCGGGTACTAATGTTAAACGGAACAATTTTTAAACGCCGTGCAGTATCATGCGTCATCTTTATTAATACATCATTGACAAGTAAACATTTATTACAAACTCTAGTAATCTGCTCGGATAAAGATAGTGGTTGAATATAATATGGTACGGCAGGTATGAGAGTTTAGGAGTATTTAGAGGCATCTATGAACAGTGGCTTGGCATCTGTTGACACGAATGGGCAAGTCCGTCCGGTTAAGTATCACGACCATACTTCTGCATTTCGTCACGTGGGTGAGGTAACCGGGACCCACTCCATTAAAAACTGGTAACGCATCTCTACAGATGGGTTGGGAGGGCTACCCCTACGGGTGTAGAAAATGTCCATATGCGGCCGTTATCACTTCACCCAACATCACTCACTTGCCACCTTCTCACATTAAAAAAAAATGTGAGTGACGAATCATATATATATACAGTTTCTTACAAGTTATTTCAAAATATTTTACCGCATATCGGTTTTATTTTTATGCATGATTTAAAAAATAATATTACGATTTTGCACTCCTATAAATGTGTGGGAAATTTCATACTCCTCCGTCCGCACAAATTTCGTAAAATATTTACCCCTTTTTCTTTTTGTTTCCGTATTAACATCTAAATATTAGCATGAGGTGATAAGGAACTTAAAGGAACAATTAAATATGTATCAACATCCTATTTATAGTTCCCGAAATCAACAATGACTAAATATAAATAAGACCCAAACAAGAGTAGTTCAGTAGTACTTTGACATGGCATCCATCAATTTCAACAAACCCTACCTACTCAAATTACGGTAAAATCTTGATTGGATTGCGCCGAAGGTTTTAAAACCTGTGGCGAAGAAAATTTCTTTGCGTAGTAATCGAAATTCATAGCCGTTATTTTGTGTAAGCTCATTATTACAGTTGAAAATAAAAATAAGGTGATGCCGATATTCCGCATTTAGTTCCTTTTTTCATTATAATAAAATTGTAATTTATATCATAAATACATGCATATAATACGTACTCTATGACTTGCGGATATTTAAATAATTAGGCTAGCCAAAAATAATAATCGGTCTTCCGTGCCGTACATTTTAGTGAATGATTTATTTGATGTGAGGTAACATCCCGAAACCAAATATGCCTTGCCAAATTCGATAGCCTCTAAGCCAGCTAAGTGAAATAACTTCGAACGTTTCGCACTGTCCGCGGCATGCTGCAGGTAACACGAGTTTTCACTCTAACTTTTGAAATTCCATGTTGCTTGCCTCCTTATATTTAAGTTTTGCAGACAAAACAAAGCACCTTCTTTTTCGTAAAAATACAAAGAACATTACTGATAGTTATAATCATACGATATGATAATAAAATTGTATATAGCTAAGATTATCAAACCATACATTTTTTTTTATTTTATGCGAAAAGTTGTCAAACGAGCAGATGGTACACCTGATATTAAGTGAATACCGCCGCCCATGGACATCTGCCACACCCGAGGGTTACACATGCGTTGAAAACCTTTTTAAAATTGGGCTCCGGCTACCTCACTCACCAGACGAAAAGCGATAGTATTTGTCATACTTCCACTTCACGCTGGTCTTCTGTGAGTTCGTGGTACTTAACCGGACGGGCTTGCACATTCGTGCAACAGCTGAGGCTGCTGCGTGGCCCTACCACAGTTACAATATAATACAGAGTTATATAGTCAAATATATACGAAAGCCTTCACAATGAATGAAAATAATCGGTTTTAGCGGGATGAATTAATATAGAGATACTCATCCCGCTAAAACCGATTATTTCCATTCATTGTGAAGGCTTTCCGCGTATTAAAGTTAATTTATCAAAAAAATCCTTTGTTCGATTCGAACACGTAAAAGTAACAGTGACCTAATTTAAAAAGCTCTTAAACGACTCAAAACCTTTTTGGAAACTTATGGACTTTAAATGATATTTCACTTTAATTGTCTCGTAAATATCAGTTATGCTACCTTCAGATAACTTGCGCGATTCAGAATACATAATGAGCTTACCCATTATATCTTGTAAATCCTGTTAAACGTGTCTATATATGCGACTTAGACAGGGATAAAGTCGCAGGCATAAGCTAGTAGTTCATAAAATTGCTTTTAACCGTGAGTGCTTGTTAGCACACTCTACGGCGTTTAATGTTGAAAATTTTAAATCCAGCCACAATCAACAAATGGCTCGAATAATGTTTAGAAACCCTTAAAACAATAAGAAGTTTAGAAGTCACTTCGAGTCAAGTTTCATTGTAAATGTGTACAAATTCCAAAAGATACAATGATATTTCGATTACGAAGTTGCCTACAACATATCCTCTTGTAATTCATAAAAATCTCCACATTTAAATAGGTTTGTTATAAAAGCGGAAACCTTGCAAAAATACGTGCATTATTGGAAACGCGCTATTTCAATATCATATTTATTTTTTCTCATCCGTTTTCACATTAGGCACGCAATGAAAAAAAAATGATCGATGACGGCATGGCATGGCTCAATTCGTTTTTAGATTTATGAATGCAATTAGCTGGTAATGAGGGCATTAACTATGTTAATATGAAGACTGAAATAAGAAAGCAGTAACAAGACTATCTTTATTATAAATTAACTGTTTCTAATTTATAATAAAATTAACAACTTTCAATTACGATAACAATTTTCTCTCTAACTATTATCTCGCTCTGTATAATGTATAGTCCACTTTATTAAATTATGGCACCATATGTGCAACCCTACGGGTGTTGCAAATGTCCATGGGCGCGGTTATCACTTAACATCACGTGAACCACCAACTGGCTTGACATCTTATCACATTAAAAAATGGGAACACGAAATCGCAGTCTTCCCCGATCCCGGCGCGACTATGGCCTTCTCAAGTCTCCTCTCCCCGCGTCCTGGGACATCCGGACCAGCCATATGGTGCTGTGGTATTAGCACTAGCATTGCACCCCTCATGAGCCGCGTATTGTACGCTATCGCTGCGTCTATAGTGATTTCTGGCGGAATCTCCGTCGGGCCCAGTCCCAAGAGGTATGGAGTCATAATCGACGATGTGCCTCCCGCAAAATATATGATACATGTACACTGTACTAGGAAAAGTGGTTAGAAATATAAATGAGTTTCCTTTTATTTTACAAACAATATCATAATAACGACAAAATGTTTCTGCAGGGGAAAATATAGGTACAAACTAATAAGAACTAGTTAAACGACTTTCAAATATAGATAATAAGATTATCTACATTTGTATGTTCATTGTTTTATTATGTTCATTTAAAAAACTTCTGGTTACATTAAACAAAATTCACCGAGGATCATATGTATTAACAGATTCATCAATGAACGAGTATCAAATTGACGTCAAGTGGCCTAAACGCCGCCATTATATAAACACACAACGTAGCTCTCGCAAATTAAATGGACGCGTAGGTATTATGGGAGTAAATTGAGGAAATGAATGGCATTCAGTTACCGTACCAATGACGTCGAACCGATTAAAATGAAATGGTACGAAACGCATTTTAACTCTCGACTGTGTTCACCGCGCAATGACCGCAAAATCTGTGTACTTTTCCGAGGATCAGTGCATCTGAACAAGCAGTAGCCATGATGGTAAAGGAGAATAGCCAACACCAGAAACGTCGCAGGATGTTGTTTACCATTAAGACTAGGAGTCTCCAGTTATCTCACCCATCGGACGAGACGCTAAACTATAAAAACTTCTAAATCACGCCGGTTCTGTGAGACCTTGATGAGCAGGTCTAGTAACGCAGAAAAATCTGTTATGAATTGGAGCTCTGCTGTGGTAGAGCTCCAATTCTACAAACACAAAATGAGTCCATGGCGGTGCAGTCCATAGCTCATCTGGTGTCCTGTCCTTCCACCTGTTCGCAGCAGGATTTGATGGACGTCACGAACTGTGCAGTCGAAGTGGCCAAGTTCTGGACCGGAAAAATCTAATTTTTTAAATAAACGCAAAGAAGAAGAAAAATATGAGTCCAGTCACAAAGAAAAGATGAGTCATGACAATATATGCAGAATGTTGCCGACTTCAACTTCACATTTCCGTTTTAATTGCTTGGCGTCACTGGGCAACACGAATAGACATTATGTTAATGACGAGACCGCATATAAATTTTGATAAGGGTTTAAGGGAAAAAAACTGTTTTTATAAGTATGTCGAAAACGATTTTAACAAACATTTTCATATGCTTGATTTGCAAACCGGATCATGGTCACGAATTTATATAAATACCCAAATAATTTGCACTATTTGCGTGTTTATATAATTAATATTCTATACTTATTTTCCTATTAATATCGAAAAACTTTTACACGCTAGTACATATTTCGATTAAGGTTTAACTAAAAACATCATTAAGTTGTAGTTAAACGATTACGAATGTTAGCGGTGCCGAAATTAGTAAATCGAATAAAAATACCATAGAAATGATTGTACATAGTGTATATAGTTGAATCAATTTACAAACATGTTTCTTTCGTAGCGGATTATGTAATCAGACATGGATAAGATTATACTTAAACCATTTGCGCAGGGACTCGAAACCTGAGGTCATTAATTTACATTTAAATGTCGAACTACACCAAAGATACGAGTATGCTATTTTCGAATGCCTTTCATGCGAAAATCTCTGCCTATTCACTCCACTTGAGCCGTTATAGCACTGTTATTTGATAATTAAGAAGCTAAGCTAGATAACGTTCAGACGAAACGAAAAACACTGCTAATGAAGCAAATTAAAAATCGGTTATGTTTTCACCATAAATACTGCAAAGTTTTCTCACAGTTTTACTAAGGGCACATACGATCGTTTATTTACAAGAAGTAAGATTTGGCGCGGGAAAAGAAATGTTTGTTTTAGGCAAACGGTAAAACACGCAGCGTAAGAGCGTGCGTGTATTTATTAACCAAGGCTGTTGTAAGCTGGGCTCGCCGTAAAATTGTACGTACCATTATATCGTATAAATAGTAGGAATTTACAAGTCTTACGTTACGATGAGATGCATTAGACAGATGGACGCGACGTGTTCGTTTCATTTGATATTTGGAAAATTTAATATGAATAGAGCATTATTTAAATGTTTTTAAAATATTTCGATTTTAAGCCATCAGTCTACTGAAATTCGGCCACGGGATAAAAGTAGTCACAACAGGAAATAATTTCGATTGGTCTAAAGATATGTTTGGTCCAATCTCAATGAAATCCTAATATACAATTACCACAAACAAATACATTTTATATTACGGCTTCAGTTAGCTGGAAATTTTTTATCACCCAGGACTATGTTTTAACTTGTAAATGTCTTCTACTATATTACGTAATTAGATTACAGCACACAATCTCAGTTTATCGATTGAATTAAGATTAAATTCCAAAACCACGACTGCTACCGTCTTTAAGACTGTATAACTTCATTCCTTTTTAGCAACAATCCATGAACGCAAGTTTACTAAATTAATCATCAATACTTTATCATTTAATTGGTATTGTGACACATCCTAAAAGTTGTTTTATATTACAACAAAACATTAAAAATAACGACATTACTAACTTTTTTGATATTCTTTATCGAGTACATTAAACTAGTTATTCCTATAAAACTCTTTTGATCTTTATTGTGAAATATAACGTTTTGCGTTTATTAACACTGTATACAGTTTCAGTTGTACTTTTGAAGAAACTTAAACTTCACAACTTTTCTGTTAAATTTGCCTTTGAATAACGTAGGGCGAAAAAGTACTATTATACAAATGATTAACGCTTACAAGGAATAAGTTTTAACTCCATTCCAAGTAACATTTACAATAAATATTAAACATGAAAAATAAATGACATCAATCGAGGATATTGGAATAAAGAAATGTATATTACAAGGGATATTGTGACGTATCTCTTTGGACATTATGTAAGTAGATAGTTTTAAAACGGTTTTAAACGGTTATATCACATTTCATCACGAAAGCTTGTAATGTAGTTAATAATGAACAGGTTCTTTTTTTACTCATGCCTTGAAGACGCATAATGAACGACGAAGGAAGCTGCACGGTTTGTGTGATGTGTGTAATGTCAACAACAAAAAGATGGTTCGTCGAACGTTTAGTCTTTCGCTGATAGAGGGGACGGGAGAGATCAATTCGTATATGCACATCCTCCAGAAAACCAAATTTCTGCTCTACGCCTGTGCTCGAGACCGGTTAGTAGCATTCGCTCGCCTCCCAGTTGAGTCTGAAGAAGATAGATGAAATATTGCACCTGCCCGACGGTACTCTATCGTGTATGAAGACCTACCTTAATTGGGTAAGAAGCAGTCTCAAACAGAAACGACGCCGCACTTTTACAAGGAAACACGATTTCCTTGCAGTTATATTGGCATGGTAGGCATGTAACTAGTAGGGATTGTTTCAAGCTCCATCGAGCACAGAGTCAAGCAGCTGACTACCTCGTGATAAGATATTCGAGCCTAAATTAATATGACATCTGACGACTTGTTTTTTCTAATAAACCTTATCGCGTAGCTATAGTACATTCTTTTCATGTTAGTCGCGAAAGACTAAAACTATATGCCTATTTTTTAACAACGTTTCATTATATGCTCAAGAAGACCGTGTTATATATAATATACCAACGCCCTATATACCAATACCAGAGAACCACAGACGACCCAAGAACACCGGCAAGAATACACACTGTTTTTAATCAGAAAGATTTCAAACAATCAATCATCGTCGGTATCATTCAGCAAATAATTATAAAATCTAATTATAGCACATTTTTAATTTTTCAATATCGCAAAAACATACGGGGTTTAGACAGGTAGATAAGTCTGCATCTTTTATATAATCGAGAGCTTAGCATAAGTTACGAAAAACACAGTTTATATAAAAATCTGTTATTATAATTATGTTAAATATATTTTAAAGTTAAATAGCAAATGTGGATATGTTATCAGTAAGCATCTGAATAATAAGTATTATTTTTTAATTATTCAGATGCTTGGACGTATTAGACGCTAAAGCGCAAAATCATTACTTTATAGGAAAATAAATTATAATTTGTTGTATATTTGAACACTACCCAATATCAACAGCAATATTTTTACATTATTTTGAACGGGCTGATAATTGTAGACGGTCTAGATGTGTAAGTTGTTATATGGCCCGTATAAATGTTGTAGGTTGCACCAAATTATAATGCTTATGAATTAAGTGCCACGGTAATTTTACCGTGGTTTTCTTTGGACTTCCTCAAAATTTTAATGATTACGGCAACATTTGGACGCATTGATATAAAGATTTTTTCTAGCTTTCAAAGACATTACGTGTTCTAGTTATTATTCAATGTTATTGTAACCTTCCTAACAGATTTCCATTTTTTACGCTTTGGACCATTTTTATAATAAAAAACATTTTCGCGAGTCAAGATATGTGATTTTTTGATTCAGATCGGTGGGGAAGATGTCTCGATTGTCATGTTTTGTGGGATTTTGACATTTAGCGACTGGTCGAATCATTCGACAAACAGCAGACGTTTCTGGTCCTTTTCAATTCCAGATTATGACCAGCGTGAACGTTACGGATTTATGAGCACAGTTTACTATATACCTACACGCTGTTTCTCTTATTGACGTTTGTATGCTTGTTTCATTCCGTAAATTATCTATACCTTCATCGGGCACAGAGCTCATCAAGGCTAGGTTTCCACAAGCTTAATACAATGTGCATAAGCAGTGTAGTGCATGTCGACATGCGAGCATTAGCAAGTCAAGGGATTGTGGCTACGGATCGTCTGGGACGTGTCATGTTTTGTGGGATTTTGACATTTAGCGACTGGTCGACATGTCATTTGACAAACAGCAGACGTTTCTGGTCCTGTGGGCGCAACAGTACGAATGACCATGATATCGACTTTAATTGTCAAATAATGGTATAAAAAAATTGTAATATAGCGCCCCGTTAACTTTCTTTCGCTCCTCTCATGTCGTTGTTGGCTGGGAATGGTGAGAGCCACCCAGAGTATTGTGGTGCATTGCTCTCTGATATTATAAGGGGATGCTACAGTAAGGTAACACTTTCCCTGACATGACTCCTATTGTTGATGTTATTGGAAAGTATTGTGCAGAGATTCCTACTTGAAGCTTAGATTTGATGATTGTACATTTAGTGGGATGAGTTCTCACATAAGACAAACCAAAACACTAAAGCACCCGCTCATTATACTGTCACACACTTTTTGGAGAAATTAATCCGTTTCATAAGAGAATTGTGGAATGGAAAGACATTCCTTCTATTTTTAAAACATTTCGAAAAAATATCAATTAAAATGTTTTATTTTCACGTGACGTAACAGCTCGGCGAATTGGCATTTAAATGGAAAAAACATTTCAATTGTCTATTTTTCTTTGTATTGAGTGAAAGCGATTCACTTATTACGCTTTTACAAATTAGTAAATACATGTTTTGTACATGTACATGTTTTCTACATGTTTTAATAATTCCTCTCACTAATTTAACCATAAAAGTATTACACAATATACTTTATGGTGAAAACATAACCAAACCTTGATTGGTTGTTACTATATTATATTAATTTTAAATTGACAAAAAAATTTAAAAATTTAATCAAGATGTTTTAACACAATTGTTTTGCATTAAAAGTGAAAAGAAATAAAAAATAAGTAAATAAAATTGGAGCTAAATTAAATTTATTTGACTTTTTAAGACAAGTTTTTCATGCTTTATGTTAGATATGACATAATAATTATTCTATTATAATCTGGTAGAAGCAGTAAGTTTCTCTCTACACAACCAAGATACTTTCACATTTTAAAAACTATCAAGAAAAAGAAAAAAAAATCATTTAATATAATAAACCATACATGTACTCACATGTGTTGTTCCAGCAGTGTGAATTAAGGGTGTAGGTTCAAAAATGCATACTTCTGCTCCATACGCTGCGGCAATTTTTCCTGTATCTGTACTGCAGTCTAAAGAACTGATGCGGACATAGCCATGAATGGCACCAGGTATTATTTGAACCCGTTCAAAGTTTGATGCAAGGATGACTATGTTACATCCGGCTGCATAAGCCTGCAAAAAAAGAGCAGCATTAATTATAATATAATATACATGATAATTACTCTAAGTTATAAAAAGTAATTTGACATGTTAAATTTACTGTGACAATTAATCAATGTTGTAATGGGTTAAGTTCATTTACCAAATTAAGTATTATAATAATTTTAAGATGTTTAACATTAATGAACATTTTGTAAAATAAATGTAATTTAATTTGAAATCTTATAGTTTAATTTCAAATTCCAAAATCTTTATAACTTTGCAGAATTCATAGACACTGGAGGACCTGAGCTTCCTTATCTGTAATTATTTTTGAAATATATTTGTAAATCCCACAAATTCTGCTTATAAAAACATAGACATATTTTTAAAAGCAGAAGAAATCACACAGTACAAACAACAGTACTGAGACCGGAAAGAATCATTTACATACTTGTTATTTGTAGACATCATAGGTGATAACAGAGTGAATTACCTTTTGTAAATAATGAACTGTTAGACAATTAGTACAGCATTTAAATATGTAAGTTATGCAAATTAGTGCTCAAGGAATTTTATCTTTTCAAGTATGTCCATTGAAACATATGAAAAGCATTTTTAATCTCAAGTTCTCAGCTGCACGAATTGAAACAAAAATTGTTAGACTCTTATCGAACAAGACTAAATTAGATTTTCCTGTTAGGACCATTACTTCTCAATTACCACTTTATAGCCATCAACATCCTTGGTCACGAGACTCATCCATCAATACCTACTGCCTATTTTATAAGCGCACTTACTGTAAAAGGTATTCCTTCCACAGAACCAACAGCAAAACATTGATCTCCTGAATTACAGGCACCACTTAATACTTGGTGACAGTTCATTATGAGGAGTTACAGATTTCTTTGTTATACTTTTTGCGAGCAACTGCACAACACTTTCATTTTCTTAATAAAAATACGCATAATTAAAACAGGTAATTTTCAACATTTAAGATTACTTTTGTCAGTAAGATCTAAGACCACGAATAATTCACTATGACACCACACATTGAACGTGAGAGAATGACGTATTACTGCAGGAAAGAGATAGGCATGTGAGCAATCTCTTCTACGCGTTCTGTGCTCATGAAATGAAACTAGTTATTTGTAAATTAATTTGGTACTATCTAGTTGTCCACGACAATCTTAACTTTATTTTTATTATATTAAATAAATTAATTTGAAATACAAAACATTAAAAAAATCATCCCAACAATTTGTTACTTTATACCAAACAGTCAAATTTTAAATCAATATAACTGATTTGTTGTGTAGTGATAAAACGAATTATAAAAATAACACAAGATAACAAAATAATTTAAACTTACATCATTCATATAAGTTAATGCCTGTACTTAATCAAATTATACACTTAAGTCTATCATTATACCTTATGTTACTGCAATTACAGTTTAATTAAAATGTTATTAATATTAATTGTCCTTTACCTCATGAGGTCCTATTTTTCCAAATTATTTCTACAATTGCGACTTAAGACTATGGTTTATAAATGTTTATACTAATTATAAAAAAAATAATTACTATAAAAATAATTTATCTGTAAGTGCTAAAACTGTCAATTTAACACATCTGCCAAGTGCCAACCAGAAAACTAAAGTTTGAGTTTGATTGAGATTGTTTTTGTGTATTGATCAATTTAATTCATAATTGTTTTTCGATAAGCCTGAATATTTAATTTATTATTAAGTTTATAAATATAGTTCTGTGATTGCTGTTCAAAATTGATTTGGAGAATAAATTTATCGAGAGTTTTCTTCGAGGTAAGATAAGTTTTTTATATATTAAATAGCTAGTATTTAACCGTTTGAATATGAAAAACTTCTTGTTTTTTTTAATTTGAGACATTATTTCACGTTTTTTATTTTCTATTTGATGAAATATAGATGATGTATATTATCAGTTATTAGTTTATGACTATCTATCTTAAACTTCTTCAACTTGAAATCGTCGTTTTTTTTTTTTTCGATAAAAATTTTGTATATTGAGTTTGATAATCATTCCTCGAATTCCTATCTGCAGTTTATTTGCATACAAAACGTTGTTCTGGTTTTAATTTGCGAAATTTCTAGTACCTCTAGACCTAACCTAGCCTCAGTCAGAACTGGAAGTCACAATTTAGAAAGAATTATTGCATTAATTATTAATAACATTGGTATACTTTATGCTAAACAAAAAATAAATTGGAAAATAAAATTATTGCTTCTTTAAAATGACTAAAAGAGATTGTCTATTAGTATTACTACATTAAGTTCACAATGTTATTCTTGTTTTGCATTTTATGTATGACTAACAGGGTAAAGTAAATAATTTTATAAATATAATAAAGCAAATTTTTATATGTCAGTTCAGATATATATGTAGCTATAGGAAATTTTGCAGGAATTTTAAAATGAAAATTATGCATCAAAAGATTCCTTACAGTTTTATTCGTCTACCATGGTGAGAATACAAATTGATAAATTTAATTTAAAACCTGGGTTATTCACTTTAGAAAAACATAGCTTTTGAGCCTAGTTTTACCATATAACTAAGTATTGTTATGTATGCATCTAGGTAAATAATAATTATTATTAATAATATATATTTTAAATTGAACTTTTGAAATGACATAGTTTATACTTTATTTTATCCCTTTTTGTACTGAGAATTTAACACCGCAGTTTGTCCTAAGACAAATATATCTATAAATTTTAAAAGGTTTTTATTTACCTCTTAGTAATATTCATATCTGTAATAAAAGAAAATGCTTAATTTACATAAAATTTATCATGAATCATAATTAATGCTTCATTAACTATTAATATATGCTTATCTGGGTCATGTCCTGTGAGTTCATTATCACTTCATTTTGGTTTTGATTACAAGTCTGACTGTTCGCATCAACTTCCTATTATTTTATAATTACTTCAATCTCTTGCCATCAATTTGTATGCCCAATTACAAAACTATGTATCATTAACTTATGGTCACTATATTTTACAAACATATCCTCCAAAGTGTAGAATGTAATGTGTAAATATCTATATACAGCGTGTTACCATCGCGACAATAAATGAACACACGTCTAACGCTACTTGCCAATAATCATAAAAACTATTAACGTTAAACAAAATCCATAATTAAAAAAAATTTTTTTCAAACAAACTAATTTAGTAAAAAAGAAACAAAATTTGTAACATCCTATACAACTCGCGCCACAGCGTCCTATTACAAGCCTCTCCTTCTAACAGTATGTTTTGTCTCTTTTAAATTCATTCAACCCATTCATACGCTTTGTGACCTTTACAAATGAACTTTATGTTACAGTTTTATGGGTAAGGGTGTTATAAAATTCTTTGTTTTGGAAAATTTAATAACTCTGTAAATATTGATGTTTAAAGAATGTATATGTTTAATACAATTTTAAAAAGTTATCCCCTATATGTGTGTTCATTTATTGTCGCGATTGTAAAGACACGCTTCATATATATATATATATATATATATAATTTATTTGTTATTTATTTTTGGAAAAAGTACCATTTGTTGAATAGATTGGAATATATCATCGAAAAATGTCTACAAAATGTTGCATAGGTGCAGTGTTATATTCAACAATGAATATGTAACTGCAGCATTTTTTTTCTGGATTGATGTATGTTCCCGAATTGGTGCTATATTTTAACTTTCATAAGAGATTGAAATAGTATCCTAAGATTTTAAAAGATTTTGTTCATTATTTATGGTTTTTATAGTGATAAATATGGTTTTATTTTTATGTATACTAACTCTACAACTCTTTAACATAGTAGGTGTTTAATACCTATTCCATATGAAAATCTATTAACCACAACCTTCATAGGTTGATCATTCATGCCTACGAGTATTCATAAGAAACTGCTCCAACAGATGTTAAAAATATATGAAACATTAACCAAAACAGTCAATTTTCTTTTTCTTTTCTTTTTTTAATTTTTTATTAAAGCAAAGAGTTACTAAGCAGACAGTATTTGAGAAAAAAAAACGGAAAAAATAATGCCACTTATATCACTCTTTGTTGTCTGAAGACTGCCTCATATATGAACTTTTTGATAAGAATGTTATCTTCAGTGATAGTAAATTGAATTGAAGAAAATTAAAGATAACTGAGACTTATCATTGTATTGCAAACCAAGTTCTATTCAAAAGACTTTATCATTGCCCAATGTTTTTTTTTTTAAAAACACCATAATATATTGTTTTCTTGATTTTACGCGAATATTATACATATTAAATGAAAATACTTTACGGATTTTATCGCGTTTTTTATTTTAATTTAAATTCCCGACGTTTCGAACCCTTTCCAGCGTACATGGTCACGGGACAGACTAAGTTGTTAGACGTCTTGATGTCATAGTTAACCCCGGCTACCGTCAATTATTTTGTTTATTTTTATTCCGATCCACGCAGAAGGAGCTTATGGTATCTTGAGGTCTGGCAGTGTTGGTGTGCTTGGATTTAATTTTATAAATTATGGGATCCCAAGCAGATGATAAACTCCAACCATCTTCTCTATTGAAATTAGGATGTTTCTTTGTTTCAATAGCCAGCGAGCTTCACGTCAGACTTCTTCAACCGACGGTTGAAGAAGTCTGCAGTTTGTGATCATGTTTTAGACCGCCCCAACCACTACATTAGATTTGATCAACCGAAAATCCTCGCAAAAGAACACCGATTCCTTCCAAGGATGATCCGCGAGGCTATTGAAATAAAGAAACATCCTAATTTCAATAGAGAAGATGGTTGGAGTTTATCATCTGCTTGGGATCCCATAATTTATAAAATTACATCCAAGCACACCAACACTGCCAGACCTCAAGATACCATAAGCTCCTTCTGCGTGGATCGGAATAAAAATAAACAAAATAATTGACGGTAGCCGGGGTTAACTATGACATCAAGACGTCTAACAACTTAGTCTGTCCCGTGACCATGAACGCTGGAAAGGGTTCGGAACGTCAGGAATTTAAATTAAAATAAAAAACGCGATAAAATCCGTAAAGTAGTTTCATTTAACAGCATAATAATTATACATAACATTTGTGTGCTCTGCAAGTCAACAAGCCTGATTTGTTTCAGGACAAAATATAATCAGAAGTCATCACTTTTATTTATATTATTTGGAATATTCTAATTAAAGTATTGAACACACTAAAAATCCTTAACATTTTATTTCTAACATGCAATATTCATTTAAATACACAAGTTCAGCTCTAATTTGTATATTTCCGAAATTAAAAAAATTGTAAATTTTAACTAGTAAGTAAAAATTTTATATTATATATCTAGAAATTTACGTACATTTGTTCCCTAATTCTAAGAGCTGTATTACAAAACCTAATGCACGGTTTAGGGGTCACTTTGCCAACTGCGATTTCGCATGGTGTGACCTTTCGCGACTTTCGGGTTTAGCATCCTTTCGCGACGTAATAGAGAAATACGAGTTCACTTAGTTTAGACTCGGCTTGGGCGTACTTTGTGTCCGTGATTTCATCTAAACCTGACTGAATCTGCGAGGGTAATTGTATTTAAAAAAAATGTAGTAGTTCTGTATGTAATTGATTTATCTTTATGCACATTTATAACATCTTAATATACACAGTTTAAGCACGGACGAGTTTTGAAACACCGTGGGGGGTGTTCTATTTTTACATCACCCCAAGCTCTCCCGATTGGCGCCACGCACCACCCCACATTATATTCTCAGTGCGAGGCAAAAACATACAGTCTTGGTGGCTTTATTAATACGCCTGCGCGTCTTAGTTATTTATTTCTTAGAAATATTCTTACTTTCTTTATGTATG